TCTGTTTGAAAATTTAAATAATGTATTTTTTATCTGTATCTATTGTAGGAAGTATGTGTTTAATGTAGATTAAAATATATAATAAAACTTGGCTATATTTAAATTTCGTATCAAATTACCAACTGATTTCCGTATTCTATTTTTCAATATCAAAATTCCGGTTTCAAATATTGCTTTTAACTGGATTCAAAACAAAATATAGATACTAGGTATTTCTAAGGAATCGATATACATAATGCACAAAAAGCAACTCAGACAGATTAAAAATAACATTCACATACATCCGAGAAACAATTCCTTATACAACAATAATATCAAAATATCATAATAATGTAAAAATAACTAAAATTGATTTTCGATATCGCAATTCAATACAAACGAAAGCAATCAAGTATACGCCATAAAAGAAAAAGCAGCGCCTACATCTGGCTAACGAGGAGTTAGAACAGGTTTCAAGACTCATACGTTACATTTATACGGTTCCCGGTACTGTAAACGATCAATATTTATTAGTTCGACGGAAGGTATCACAATTAAACATTAAAACCACCATAAAAAGTAAGGAATTAGAAATAGGAATTAGAAATCATTATTCGATTCAATGAATCTTATAGGAAATGTATGAAAAAACTTGTATTAAACGTAATTAGTAATTACCAATATATTGATATATATACGTGTATCTATATATAAAAGAAAGTCGTGTTAGTTACACTATTTATAAATCAAGAACGGCTGTACGAGTTTGGACGAAAAATGGTGGAGAGATAGCTTAGAACATAGAAAAGACATAGGATACTTTTTAACGATTGATAAAGAAAAAAAATACGTTGATCAAATCCAAAATCTTTTTATTTACTGTCTTTAAGGAGGAATAGAGTTCGCCCGGTCAGCTATACATTACTAATTCTGTAACTAAATTAGAGGAACTCGCGGGAAAAAACTAGTATGTAATAAAATGAATTACAGATAATAAAATTATAATACAACTAATTAAATACATACAAAACATAGATCGTAACGATAAATAATATATACCTAATTTATGTTTGATAATAATCATGAAGTTTTTCCATGAAATAATTAAAGCTATCTCACAATCAAGCATTAATTAATTCTGGATAACATACCTTATTAATTTTCTACCTTTTTAGTACATACGTCTTGAGTATTATCTTTCTTGTTCATCAATCATTCTGAATACAGTTCGTATTTTATAACCGATATAACGAGATCCCTCAAAGAGCATAAAAACCTTAAAAACTGCATCAAAATGGAAGTCTGAACCAGGTCTTATATTAATGGTCTTACCTTGTCTGGTTATGTTAAACTTAAAATCCTTATTCAGACACCTGCTGCGAAACTTATTAACTTTAAAAATATTTAGAAGCTATTAAATATTTAACCCTTTTAACTATTAGCTGACTTTTAAAAGAGAAATTCCATATATAAATCTTTCATATAAAATTAATATGTTAAACAAAGAATATTTCCAAAGAGTTCCATATTAATATTACACAAGCTTCCCTTCCCAAAGCGCGTGTAACAGAAATAGTGCATCCTGTATGCGCAGACGCCGGCGACGTTTACGAATTGGACGGATAATCGATTTTACGAGCAACCGAAATAAACTTCTCCCTTCGTACATCATGTATGGGTTTATTTCAAGCGTATAATAAAATATGTAAGTCATAACAACGTTCAGAAACTAGGCGTAACTGAAAAATAAACAGCAATTTATATTATAATGGAATAAAAATCGATAAAACATCATATGTTTGTTTTAGTTTATCGATATCTAATTAAATGAGTATAACTCAGAACTCCTTTGATCTTTTTTTATGGTTCAAATAATTATATGTTATATATATTATACCTAAATTATTGATCATTATGCATCTTGATAGTCTTTATTTAACATTCATAAAATGAATCTACTATGTTATTTATAGGAATAGCACTGCACCGAGCAATAAAAAGCCTGTTCACCTAAATACTGTAGTGGGTGTAGGATTTTATTGTTATTATCGTTTTAACGATCTTGCTTTATATGCCGCTTCAGCATCTAGTTAGTCGGACTGTAGATAAAAATGATACATTTTGATACATTGACCCTGTACATAAATTATATATAATATATTAACTTTATATAAAAAAGAAGTAATGTAGTAAATTTAACGAAAAAAGCCGTCTAAACCTCGAAGCTGATTTTAATGAAGCCGATGCCGACCAAACCACCGTATGTCATGTTGACGTTTACGATGGTCGACAGATTTGAAATAAGAATATGAGTGAACCGGCGTGTGTGGCCTCGTAATGTTGCTAGTGTGAAAAAACATAAAATATGTATTTAAAAATCGGGTCAGTTACACAACTGTACGGGAATAAAATTATTCTTTGAGAAATATTTTTTCGAATTATTTTTGATTTATAACCAATAAATTATATCTGTTATTATAAAAGATGAATGTAAATTTTGAGTTAAGACTGTTATTAGTTTGAATTCGGTAGCAGATTTATTTTTAAACCGAGACCCCTTTCGTTCCGTTCTAAGATAAAAAAAGGATGTAAGCTGAATAAATGCATACAAATCAAATGACCATTTTATTCACGTTCCGTAACTTTTTAGGTTCTCTCTTGTTATTTGCCGCTACTTTTTATACAGATTTAATATTTCCAAATTTTACTTCAGAGAGTTCCCTATTAAATCTTCTTTTTCTTATTTAGTTAATGGCGTTTTATATATATTAAAATTTTCATAGACAAAGTATCGTGAACAGACTTTAATAGTCTGGAAGAAGAGTTTCTAATTATACAAATAAAAATAACCAACATTAAAAACCCAATGACCGCTGAGGTCGACCAAGGATTTAATTTATATTTCCGATCGAATAGCGTGAAAGGATCGCTCTTCGTGAGATAACATTATCAGCTTACAGGCACTCTGGACGCGACACGCTGCCTCATAAACAACGACAATAAAAAAAAAAAAAAAAAATGCCAGAACATTCACACCTGAACCGTAATAACATTTGCATTTTACTTAACATGATATGTTGATCACGAAATATGTTACAAGCGCCAAGCGATATATTATATTAAAATACATTTATCATTAAAAGTTGTATGTTAGGACCTAACGAATATAAGCACAAATTTCCTACATGTTTATTGAAACCAAGAAATAACTTTTAATATAGCAGACAAAGGCGTTATGTGTGGATAATGTTATATGAAATACTTAATTATGTGAATGCAAATAGTACAAATATGTATTAGTAATAAGCTGTCGGCATGTCGGTCGGTGGCCGGATCAAACATTACTGTTTGGACTATCGCCACTTTTGGTTCTGTTCAAACACAGGCCGTTGTTTGTTCAAGTGCTACAACACGCCACCGCTCACAACTTCGTCCAACGTAACATTACCTCGCACCCTTCATAAAAGCTCATCAGCCACACGGAAACCAGGGATCTTAATAAACTGGTTGCGGCTAAAACAAGGCGACACCTTTCTTGTACCTTAGGGACGACGCCTGTCACAAACTTTAACGAGCTTAACTTAAGGTTCTTAGACGCTATAATTTACACGAAACTAAATCCAACGGAACTGGTTTGAATATCTCGTTAGGATTAAAACAGGATACCACGTGTACTAAATAAGGGGGCTTCTCAATTCGTGGCCATATATATATTTAAGCCTGGGCTTAGTAGTTCACACGTTAAAATGAATTTTCAAGCAGCATTTGAGAATGTTGTGAAGATTTATGACTAGTCGTTAGAATATGTAGCACGTATAACCAGCATAAATTTAGATGATTCTTCCGTAGACCAGTTTCCTATTGCCAGGGATATTTTAAGTAAAGATTTCCATATTCAATACATTGCTTGTTTAAATTTAACATATAAACTTGACAAGCAAGCCAATCGTGTACAAATTTATTAAGGAATACATTTTTCGGCAATATAGCCGTTGATTTGAAACTAATTACCAATATTTGATAACAGTTAAACTACAAAATACTATTTCAAATGCCTCTATACAATTTTTTTTGTCTTCAAACATAACTTACTGAAACAAATCATGATTTAAAATTATTTTTCAGTATCTTGAAAAAATATTGCCCAAAAACGTGACACTTATTTTATATTCATATAAATATGCAATGCTTAAATACTCTTTGTCTATTTTATACTCTGTGTAATGACATTTTTTTTTACGCATTACTCGACTTTAATCATTCAGTCTATTAACCGGTAAAGAATCCAACAATAGTCGTCTCTAAATATCCTGATACGGTATAATAATAGCATGACACCTGCCATCTTTATTTTTTGTCTTGAATATAATGTTAATTATTCTTTATTCTTAGCAACAAGTTACGCAAAAAAGTACATACATATATGTATATATCATTACGTAGAAAGATCAAAGATAATATTGCGCAAAAGAATGTATATTAGTATATAAATAAAACTATAAAAGTCGCATTTCACATTTGTGATGTCCGAATACTTAGCGTGAAACGTAATACGTTAATAACTCTATTAATGAAATATGAAAAATTTAAGTGAACTGAAAGACAAATTTAATATTTACAATATTTATCAAAATGTATGTATAAACGCAAATGATTTTCTTTTGTAATATAATTACAAATTAACTAATTACAGCTTGAATTTTTCTGATTTGTGCTAAATGGAACTGCTTTTAATTATTCCATAATTTTAGAAATGTCACAGTAATTAAAACTAATACGTTATTTTTAAATAACGCTAACATAAAAGTGACATGTATTCTCAACTCCAATAAGCATAGACACGAACATTTTTTTTTTAACAATTATACCTAGTCTATCAACGAAATGACCATATATATAGATATTTTTTTTGGTTAAGTTCGTTCCGTTCTAAACAGGCAAAGAGAACAAAGTCCATACAGCTATGTCGTATGTAGTATTATAGATAAACATGATAAATAGATTTAATTTGTATATTACAGGTGGGTAGTAGCGGCGGGGGCTTGGCGTGCGAGTGTATTACGTCCACCAACGACCCCAGCCTCTAGGAATGATCGTCATTCTTCGTTACTTCAACTAGCAGCATGGGGTGTTCCCGCGGCGTTAGCTGCAGCAGTACTTGTTACTAGAGATGTCGATGCTGATGAACTAACAGGTATAATTATACTCAATAAAAAACACTTCATACTTCAACTGCCTCTATAATATCATCGCTATTATTGACTCGCCATTATTGTCTTTGAATTCATCGAATATCTTTAAAAAAATGCACAAACGTGTATATTGTAAATAGTTTCAGGTGAAAATAGTATGTAGGAAGAACAACTAGCCATATACAGAAGTTGAATGTTCTTAAACAACGCTATTAACTCCCATTCCTTTTATGAGTACTTGAAGCGCCTACTATTTACTATTTCTTGTGTACTCACCTTTAATTCTCTTGCCTATAGTCTAGGCTGGGTTTAACGGCTTCTTGTATATTCTGTAGACAAAAACTAAATAAATGGCCGTTGGTTGAATCGTAAAGTAAACATTTCAACAATAAAACGACGTTTGTTCTTCACAGTTATATCAGTTTATAGATTTTATTACGAACCCGGGCACGGCACGTTAGATTTATAAAAAAACAAAGCTATGAATGGCAGTTAGTCTCGTTCAATCAATACAATTCTAATACATATCCGTATAGAGAATAGTTTTAATGTTCCTTTGATATGTACGGCGGTGAATTCAAAGTGATTAAATCTGGTACGAGTGCACGGGAGCACGCATTCATGCGTACAGCATTCAGTGTTTTGTGAAACCACCGCTTCATTGTGTACACTGCATCATACATGTGTTCACAAACAGACGATGACTTGGCTACAAGAATTATACCAACTATATAAATACTTAGAAATACTCGAGTGGCTTACAATTGTATACTATACAGAAATCTAATAATTTATAACTAAATATATATTATAGGTATACTTATATAGCGTCTATTACAATATAAGATATATTTCTATACTGATTTATGGCTCTTGATTACCCAATGATATAATATATACTCGTATTTATTTTATTACAAGAGATTTTAATCCATTTCACAAACTATAACCAACATAATGAGATTTGTTGAGGTCGGTTAAGTAAAAAGAACGTAATATTTCACATTTCCAGAATAGGTTCAGTGTCTTAGATACAATGTAAGAATTATCTTTTAAGTTATTTTAATAAAACAAGGCGGCCGCGGCATGTTAAACAAATATTATCAAACTAATTCCTTATCACATAAGCCCCACCTCCACGGATATTAACAGCTTGGCTTCAAACAGACTCACGTCCCATTGAAAAACACCGCTCTGATAATGTTCTAAAAAAACTCGGAAACTAATACCGCGACGCGCAAATATATGAAAGTAATTTAAAACCGACCCCTGATAAAGAAACTCAAGCGGTTCGCTCTTTGAGACAAATTTGACTTGAATAACATTGAGATAGTACGAATGTACTAATTTGTAATTCATTTAAGATTAATGTATCGAATATGCTTAGGTATTTCATTATCATTTAGGTCGATGATTTAAAACTATCGATAAGGCTATCATTTCAGTCTGATCGATGAGTTCGTTGTAATCCTCGCAATCCGCTTCGAGTGTTGTGCCGCACCGTAAAATTCTCAGGCATATTGCAGTTTCAATCATACTAAGCTCATTGTTTTATTTTTATTATTTCCATTAAAGCAACCGAAAGAAATGCGCGACCATTATTCGAGCCGTTAAATACGACACCTTTCCTCCTCGCCCGGTCGTATTTCAATTTTAAATCAGCCCTTTTAACCATTGCCTTATTAATGCAGGCTTTTTTCTCGCCGTCTGTTTGTGTAGGTGTGCCTTTGTGCGCTGTTTAATAAAAATCGGAATGTTATTTATTGAACTGAAAGGAATCCCTTTCCGCTAAAACGTTCTTACATATTAATATATGTTTTTTTTATATTGCAGGTACTTGCTTTGTCGGGAACCAGTCTAGTAAATCGTTATTGGCGCTGGTGATCATCCCAGAAGCGATATGCTTGTTGTTAGGCAGCGTTTTTCTTGCTTCTGGACTGCGATCGGTTCTTCGTCGTCCGGTTCCTATTCCGGGTCCAACATCATTACTGAATACTCCCGCGCCAGCCCATCAAGATCAGAGTTTGTTAAGACTAGGAGCATTCGCCGCACTATATGCTGTACCATCAGCATGTATCTTAACGACATGGATATATGAATATATTTTGAGAGAGGATTGGTTGTCAGCGCCAGTACCTTCAAGCGAACCATCAACGCAGCCGCGACCATCTCTATGGGTGTTCCTATTCAGAATATTCGCAACCCAAGTGCTTGGAGTAATGGTTGCTATATGGATAGCGACGCCGCGCTTAAAGGCTTTATGGAGAAGGATCTCTGGTCCGAGAAAACCAGCCTTATCCAAATGTCCTGCTCCCGCCCCCGCCCCGCTAACACTGCAATGCTACTCCACACATTCTCATTCTTTGACCCGACATCCTCAAAAGTACGCTACATACAGACCTCCACAACAACAATCCTATAGAAAGCCGCGGCATTATCACTACTCGGCCGGTGAAACTATTCTATGACCGATACTCTATATAACATTGAGCTAAGACTGCCGAGACTCGCCTCTCAAATATTGGTGTAAAGACATTGTGTAATATGAGTGCCATTATGTAAATTAATTGAATCTATTTATAGGATGAGAATATTTGTATTTTTATAGAAGTATGAGATGATTTAAATAACAATAAGATATTATGTATTGTACAAAATAATAATTATATAGTTCATGAGTATTAAACCATGAGTAATATTGTATTGTGTTAGTAAATACTGTGCTATGGCCATTTCCTTAATTACTATAAACTTTTGGTAATTTACAACACTTTTTTTTTGATGTTATTACAATATAGATACAATATTGAACGCTTTTCCATAAGTAATTTAATCATGTTTGTTAAACATAAAGAAAATTATAAATCATTCAATTTTGTCTATGGTCTATTAACTATCTCAAGGAGAATATATTCTAAAGTTTACATAGTAGCAAATTGTCTATGGTGCCTTTATATGATAGATTTTAAGTGATCCTAGCCCAATGAGCCTATTGAAATATATTTTCTAGACATGTACAGTAAACAATTTAATTCATGTAATAAAAGGCAAATCGACAACAGTGTTTCTATTTTTAAAATATATTTATATTTTATATATTTTGATACATATTTATCTATTATACTGAAGAAATGTGTAAATAAGTTCAAGTTATACATTAACACATTAATGTAAATATTATTTAATTAATTACATAGTGATAAGCATTAAGGCTTTTTATGTTTAAGTAAATGTAAATAAATTTTAATAAAAAATAATACATCTGTTTTTAATTGATACCTTATATTTAGTACTCCTCAATCCTACTAATATTATAATTGCGAAAGTTTGTGTGTGTGTATGTTTGTTACTTCTTCACGCTCAAACGGCTGAACCGATTTTGATAAAATTTTGTATACAGGAAGCTGACGTCCAGGAATAACACATAGGCTACTTTACATCCCGGAAATCCGCGGGAAACACCGCGGAGCGCAGCTAGTATAATATAATTTAAAGAAAATAATAAATGTTATATTACATTTGGAAAGTTTTTGATAAGGAAAAACATTTGCAATTATTTCGTAATTCTTATGAATTAAATTATGTTATCAAAAAGTAAGTAAAATGATTATTGTACCGTAATTTTTTACTAAAAAAATTACAGATTTTTCTCAATAAGTGCTAACATTTAAAATTTTATTCGCAATGGATTAGAACTAATTTAATAAAATTTAATAAATCGAGAAGAAACAATTACTTTTAATTGTTTGTTTAACACTCAGTTTTTAATAGTTTAAAATCAGCATCCTTTTACATGCTTACCACAGTAGAATTTGAATCTAGCAAATGCTGTGATTTCTTAATTAGCTTACCTAAAATCGTATAACGGCTAACGCCCATAAAATGCTACGATAATTGTAGAGGTAGAAGAAAAAAACCAAGCCATTTTTGTCAGCAGGTTCAAGAAAAGTATATTAATTAGAATAATAGAAAATCCTGTTTTAAAAATCCTTGAGAACAGTGGTGAAGTAAAAAATAAAGCCCAATTTTCATGATATAAATGGCTTATAGAGTACATACTCCGTTAGTTATAAATTATATGCTGATGTACTCTATGGTATTTTATTTATGCTTTAGTTGTATTATCTGTATAGCCTGTACTCTTTTCTATATTGGCCGAGAGGCCGTTTTTGCCAAAATAATTTATTAATATAAATATAAAATTCTATTTAGAATGTCGCCTTTTAATAATATGTTTCGTTTAAGTAATCTTATAACAGGATCCTACAAAAACGTCCTTTTAGGAAGGTAAGTTTGAGGTTATGACGCTTCTGTTGTTTATTTACGGTATAACTTTGTTATAATAAAAAAAAATACAATAATTAGTAACATGAATAGTATATAAACTGAATATAGTACGTATAGAATTATCAAAAATACAAGATATTGTCTCAGAAATGCTATATCAACATTGCTTTATTGTTTAAAACATAATTATAGCCATGCTATATTTGTTTGTGAATTACTACTGAACTTCAATAATTATGAATAACTCGTTACAGGGTAAGTTATACTCCTTCTCAAATATGTTGTTACACGAAGAAATCGGCAGAGGCTAAATTGGGTATAGACAAACCAAAGCGACCATTAACACCGTTTTTTAAGTTCATGGGGCAAATGAGACCAGCCCTATTAGCTAAGAATCCCGGTATAAGTTCCAAAGAAGCTATATCATGGAGTTCGAAACATTGGCAGCAACTTGACAGTGAGGTAGAATCATAACTATTCATTTCTTCTATTAGTAATATTCAACAAATATGTTAATTATTTTAACATTGCTTAAAATTTACGTACTTAAAATTTCAGACCAAGGCACAAATGTTGAAAGAGTATGAGAAAGATTTAGAAGACTATAAAAAGATCAAGGCAATATATGAGTCATCACTCACAGAACAACAAAAAGAAGACATACAGAAGATGAAAGAAGATATGGTCGCAGCTAAAGAAAAACGAAAATTAAAAGCCGTCAGTTCTAATTAGTATAAAAATTCTCATACACATATCCAATACTGAAACTCCTTGATTGTAATATATTATGAATTTTAGGAATATAAAGAAATGGGGCGACCAAAGAAACCTATGTCTTCCTACTTCCTGTTCTGCCAAACCAAAAAGGATTTATTTAAGGGACAGAAATTAAAAGAATTTCAGAATACATTAAAAGCTGAATGGGCTAAACTTTCTGATAGTGAAAGAGTGAAGTATGAAAAACAGGCGCAGGAACTTATGAATAAGTATAGGTATTGTATTTTATTTTTTGTTATAGCCCTCCCAGGATACTGTCAAAGCAATTACAACTCACAGTTATAAACAACTCAAAACTAAAAAAAATATTATTATATCTTGTAAACGAAAAATTTCATGTTTCAGATTCAACTTTCCACACATATAATATATTCACCTGATACTAATTATTATTTTGTATATTTAATTTACAGAAAAGATTTACAGGCATGGGAACTGAAGATGATATCGATCGGACGTTCAGATCTTGTTAAAGAGAAACCTGTTAGGTCCAAATCAAAATCAAAGTCTTCACAATAGGGACTAGGGTGCTCTGATGAACATGCTGACTTAAATCAAACTATTAGTTCTAAGGATAATTATATTAATAAACAAACAGTCGGTGACATTATAGAAGATAATAATGCTAAATCGGAAAGTAAAGTAGTACAAACAGAAGAAAAGTCAGTTGTAAATCAGAGTACGGGTGCCAATGAGAATCTTGAAAATAAAACTGATAAATGTACCAATAATGATGTTAAGAAAACAGTCATTAGAAATACTGAGCAGGAAAATACCTCAAAAGAAAGTAAGAATATTATTAGAAGTATTAAAGATTTCTTTAAATTTTAGTTCACATTTTAGTTGATATGAAATCATTTATTTGTAAACAATCATAAAGTTTCTTGTTTCCATTATTTTTGTTTTATTTTGTTCACCTCTAGTTTTATATTTGGTTTCATTATATTATTTCATTGTATTTTAGTAGTATTTATAAGTATTACTAAAGGATCTGCTTTTTCTAGGACCAATTTTGCAAGGTGTGTTCGGGATATATAAAATGAGACCATAAACAACATTATTAGAGCCACTTTTAATTTCAAAAGTTTGTTACAAAATATAATTAAAATAAATCTTTTATTTATATCCATTGATTATTTACAACCGGTATTAAGCTGGTCAACTTGAATCAATATTATATTATTAACTAAAAAACTATACTATAAAAAAAAGACATTGCATTATTTATATATATATAAAAAATAACTGGAATTATGATTATTCTAAATCTTTGGTTAGAAACCAGCTTAATATGTTGCATGTTACAGAAACCTCTCGAACTCATTCCCATTTGTCATACATTTGAATATTTAACAAGTGCCGATGATAATGAATGCAAAATTATGTTGAGCAAAGAACGAGCTTCATACAATGTTATGTTCTGCAAATGGCTTTTAGAAAATAATTTTCAGTCACAGACTGCCATAAAGATTTTGTGCTGTTATAATTTAACTTTTCATAGTTTTAAATATCATATACACATACAAAGCCAAAAGCAAATCAAACTAGCTTTAACATTTATATAATAAATGTGGAAGTCAATATGTAATTTATAATTAATATTTTTATTTAGTTCTATTAATATTTGCAGAATTAAATGCAGCGAGTGATTCATTTTTCTGGACAGGCATGTTAAGAGATGCTTGGAAGTACTTATTTTGAATGTGTCTATTATAAATTGTTACAAAAATCTATTTCATTATTTACAGACTTACAAATTTACAACTAAAATGGCAATATGTGACTAAAACACACTCGTCACAACAACTGGTATCACTTATGTATAAAGGCACAAGCAATCAAAACATAATACATCCCAACAACCCTAGCTCCCTAAATATAGAAAATGGTCAGTCATCAAAATGCCCAATTTGTATATTTATAAAAAGTTTACTACAGAACATTCACTCTCAAAGTCTGCCACAAAGACTGAATACAAATGGTTGTAAACAAAAAAATGCACACATCCTGCGTGAATGTACTAACCAATTGTGTTATCGACATTATTTTCTGTGCCCTGCTTGGTGGCATGCAATTTAACATTAATATAATATTAGCAAAATTGGAGTTCTGTTGTTTCGGGATCATTGCTAACTTTGTTGTGACATAAATTGCCAGGGGGAGGAAAAAATAACCCCTCTCGAATGTAACAATGGAAAAATTATATAGTAATTGTATTAACAGAGATAATAACACTATGTCATATTTATGGCTAACAAGTTTTTCGTAAATCGGTGGATTTACCTGAACGGGTTCAGGTGTTGGTGATGCAAAAGCTGTCGAGTCATGCTTTGGGAAAGGGACGTCTCCATCGCCTATCGCAAAATCCTCCTGATTTGTTGATAAAAAACTTAAAGTCTCTAATCCTGCGTTTGTGAGCACACCATTGTTAACCAAACACTTATTGATATTGCAGGACTCTTTAGAAGGAGAGTTTTTTAAACTGTCGTCGAAAATCGAGCTACTTGTTGGAGATTCTGTAAAATTAGAATTGGTTATGATAAAAGTTAAAGACGATACATAAAACAAAATTTACAATGGCGATATAACACACCTTTACCAACGTCGTTGGCATTTTTCCCAGATATCAATTGTAATCTGTTATGAGAATTTTCTAATATTTTCTTTCTTCGTGCTTCACGACGTGCTATTGCTGCTTCAGCCATATTGGCAATTTTTGACTTTTTGTTATTTGTGAATTGACACTTGACAAACGACATATGAGATTTTAGAGAGGTCATATCGAAAAATATGTGCTTTTTATATAAAATACAATTAATTTGATTCTTAGTTATTACAGTATTTTTTAGTTTCCATGATGTTTTTATTCATAATAATAACAGAGTAGAATATTATATAAATGCATACTATATTAGTGTTACTAAAATCATAATATATTATAATTCAAAAGTCTTCAAAACAATAAGCCTACTTCTTTAAGTACTCTTATGCATATGACACGGTAGCCAATTAATAGTATTTGGTCGAGATTCATTAGATACCTAACTTGTGCAACAAAAACTGCAACCCTTTTAGTCCTAATTCGTAATGTTTAAAGTGTATTTTAATATATTGAATGCTTTTGTTTGTTAAATAAAATTGTCTAATTAATCTATGAATTGAAATTATAATATTTATTAGGTACATATGTAGTATGTAATAGTAATTTAAAATAAAATTCAGTCGCATTTTAAAATTATAGTCAATATACAAACTTTGCTTTACTGTTTCCGTTAATATCTTTTCAAGTTAAAATTTCTTCAACCTTCACCTTTATCTAATTCAATAATAAATATATATATTTTTTACAAATAATAATACATGAAATCAAATGAATATTGTAGCAAATAAAATAAAACTGTAATTGAGAAGTAGTTTATACCGGAAGTTTCCGTGTAGCTACAACGCTAGGGAGAGATTGTTGTTTGGCGCCTTTACGGGGCCGGTTGGTTTTTGTCATCGTTTAACTTTAAAATTGCGAACTAGTGTTCGCTTATAACGTAAATATGGGTGATAAAGATGGAGGTAATGGATTATTACTATTGTGAAAAGCTCTTGTTGCTTTTATCGACTACAACAATGCTATACAATACTTGACAGTCCGTTTTTGATTTTTTTTGGTTATCATCAGTGATATTCTCAAAATTTTGACGTTATTGTAGAAACCTTTGACGATGCTGTGGAAGAGAGGGTTATTAACGAGGAGTACAAAATATGGAAGAAGAATACACCTTTCTTATATGACCTGGTCATGACACACGCTTTAGAGTGGCCCTCGCTGACCGCTCAGTGGCTTCCAGATGTAACAAGACCTGAAGGCAAGGATTACTCCGTACACAGGTACTGTTACAACATTTTTACAATAATAAATTAGTATGACATATATACAACATGAAAATTACCTTTGAGTGAAGACAAAGGATCTGTAGTTAATTAAAATAAAAATATATTATGTTTATTACATTAGATTGATTTTGGGCACTCACACATCTGATGAACAAAACCACCTCCTCATTGCAAGTGTACAACTTCCTAATGAAGATGCACAATTTGATGCAAGCCACTATGATAATGATAAGGGTGGTATGTATTTTTAATATAGTTAATTAATTATAATTATTATTGAAAATTTTGAGCCTTAAATTATATTATTAACATTGAAATAAATTATGTTTTTATTATAACAAACATACATAAGCTAATTTCCATACTTTCCACTTTGTTATATTAAAGTAGCACTTATTATTTTTCTTTATCTATAATGAAATATATTTATTCATTACTAAACATATATCATAGCTATAGGTTTATATAATAATATTAATTACAGAATTTGGTGGTTTTGGATCAGTTTCTGGTAAGATAGATATAGAAATAAAAATTAATCACGAGGGTGAAGTGAATAGGGCTCGCTACATGCCACAGAATCCTTGTGTCATTGCCACAAAGACCCCATCTTCAGATGTCCTTGTATTTGACTACACCAAACATCCTTCAAAGCCTGAACCTTCTGGGGAATGTCATCCCGACCTTAGGTAATGAAATAAACATTGTCGGGACAGTGCAAATCCACATAACTAGCATTGGATAATTTCTCTATCTACATTGGAAGCAAATTATCAGAAGAAAGTTTAAGCTGAAATATTTTCTATATTAATGACTTGCAAAGTAATTTTTCACAATTAGTAATTATTTAGTGTTTAATTTGTTACTAATTATAAAAAAATTACTATAATAGTTGGTAATATAGAAAATATTTCAGCTTAAACTTTCTTCTGATAATCTGCTTCCAAAGTAGATATGCAGAATTATCCAATGGTAGGTATGCGGATTTGCACTATCCCCGATAATGACATATAATATAATGTATTGAAATGCTTATTTAATGTCTATTATTTATATATATATTTTTTTGTTTTGTAGATTGCGAGGTCACCAAAAGGAAGGTTATGGCTTGTCATGGAACCCTAATCTTAATGGATACCTTTTATCAGCCAGGTATATATATTCATATTAGCAAGATATTTAAGATAATAAAATACACAAATAAGTATTAAGACTTCAAGTTAAAATAATCTGAATAACTAGACAAAAGTATTGAATTAAATATATATGTTTCTGGGAAATATTAGATTCTTCTCCTACCTGGCAATTTGTTATTACGACCGGCCGCCTGCCTGACAGCAACCCTCTTTGGGAATGCATGTCTAAATACTCATGCATGAGAGGCGTACCTTTTAACCACTAGGCCACCACTGTCTTAAATTATAAGATAATTATCAGATTATTATTAAAAAAATGTTAAATTTAATGATTTTGATTTTAAATTCAATGTATTGTAAATTAAAGAAAATTTTTTAAGGTAATAATATAAGCTTCTAGCATTTAGGTAGTGGTAATTCTAACTTTTATGCATTTCTATATACTTGAATTGTTTTTTATCAATTATAACAATTGAATATAGGTACTATAACTTTACAACTCTATGTGTCATAAATAATACATCTTTTACAATTAAAATTAATTATATATTTAACAGTAAAAGCAAATTGTATGATTTTTCTATATAAGAATGCATTTCAACACATATAAAACAAACAACAAAGCAAATAAAATTATATTGAATATTATATCTGATTTTTGATACATAACATAATGAGTTGTTCAAAAATTATTGTTTGTCAGCTTGTTTAGATAGATCTCTTAAATAATTCTATCTATTTGACTATATAGTCTTTTAAATACTGGACATGTTATTAGGAGTGACTTGTATTTGTACTTATATTTGTTAAAATTAGGAGTAACTTGTACTTATGTTTGCTAATTTTAAGAGTAACTTATCTTATGTTCATTAATATTAAGAGTAACTTATCTTATGTTTATTATTATATTTTTATAATAATTTCATTTCAGTGACGATCATACAATCTGTTTATGGGATATCAACGCCACTCCCAAGGAAGGGCGTGTGATTGAAGCCAAGTCGGTGTTCACGGGTCACACAGCAGTGGTTGAGGATGTTGCGTGGCATCTGTTACATGAATCCTTGTTTGGTTCGGTTGCCGATGACCAGAAGCTAATGATATGGGATACGAGGTCAGTGTTAGTACTTTTCATCATAATAGGCCTGGTTTATGATGTAGAATGTAGATTTGATTTTGATGAGCTTATATTTAACTTGTTTTTACATATTTGGTGGTTTTGGTATATATTACAACTGTTTGTAACTGATTAGCTTGCTTGAATTTATCTAGGCTTTGATTTTTTTATGTCGTTTTAAGTTTTAAATTGTTAGATTAATGGTGCATGTATATTTTGTAACTGTTATTGATTTTTAGATTGTAAAGCTTCATTATTATATTTAATTTTTCAACAATATTTAGATTCTTGAATTTTTTTTCTTATAATTTAAGACATATGCTGTAACAAAGTTTTCTAGTACTGCTTTCTTCATCTTTTAACTACATATAATCCTCATGTCTCCTTCAATACTAGTCTTCTTCTACCTGGCAATTTCCCAGCTATAGCCAGGGTCTGCCTTACATGTGAATAGTTTTGGTTGTTTGTTTTTACGACCGGCCGCATGCCTGACATCAACCCTCTTTGGGAATGCTTAAATCAGTGATGTCTAAATACTCTTAGAAAGTACATATGACTCAGAAAAATCACATTGGTACTTGCCAGGATCGAACCCGCGCCCTCAAGCATGAGAGGCGGGCCTTTTAACCACTACGCCACCACTGACTTAACTTTCTTTTAACTATATCAAATTAAATAATTATAATTTTTATCTTTTCATTCCCATATCTGCTTCAATACTACCATTTAAGAAGAATTATGAATGAAAGTCTACAACTGTTAATGTAAACATGATAAAATATATCTCAATATGAATAAATTAATTATACATATATGTAGTTTTATAATATAAATTGTTAATTCATGTTTGTTCTCTAGATGTAACAACACATCCAAGCCATCCCACACAGTGGATGCTCACACCGCTGAAGTGAACTGCCTTAGCTTCAACCCATACTCGGAATTTATTCTCGCCACTGGCAGTGCTGACAAAACTGTAAGTTGAATTTATCTTTCAAAATTAGAAATATATACACATTTATACTAGCTGCGCCCCGCGGTGTTACCAGCGGATTTCCGGGATGTAAAGTATCCTATGTGTTATTCCTCGACGTCAGCTTCCTGTATACAAAATTTTATCAAAATGGGTTCAGCCGTTTGAGCGTGAAGAAGTAACAAACATACACACACACTCACAAACTTTCGCAATTATAATATTAGTAGGTTATAATATATACAGGGTGACTGGTGAATTACTATCGATACTTGAGGACGTGATATTTGACGATCATATATGACAAAATAAAAATTAATATAACATAAATATTAATAAACTTCTAAGTAAAGTTAACCAAAAGTTATGTAATTAATTACGCATCGTGTGAACACCCTACAGATTAGGTATACACTCACACATACGCGGACGGCGGCGTAGTGTTGTATCAGCACGCCGCCGCACGCGTCCACACTAGGAACACTTGGAACGTGTCAACACTTTATTTATTTATACGGAAATTTTGTCAAAAATTAAGTGCATATTTTTTTTACATAATTCGAATGAGAATCATGTACCGAGTATGCTCCTTAAATATTGATAGTAATTCACCAGTCACCCTGTATATGTTTAGTTACAATCTTATTTAAAAAACTGCTACTATAAGCCTAGTCTTCTTCGTCCTGGCAATTTCCCAGCTTTAGCCAGGGTCTACCTTACATGATGTGAATAGTTTTGGCTTATTGTTTTTACGACCGGTCGCCTGCCTGACATCAACCCTCTTTGGGAATGCTATAAGCCTAGGCTTATATAGTAAATATGTAGGATATGTTTTTTATTTACGAACGTATCAAAGAAAATAAAATCAAAACTTTGATTCTTTCTATACAATTAATAGAGCTTTTCAGTATATCTTAACCCAATAATTTCTAAGATTTTAAAAATAATTTTTTATGATTTTCGATTATAATTCATAAGTAAGAAATTATAATGTTTTTATTTTATTTTTCGTTAACTGTATATTATTATACCAGGTGGCGTTATGGGACTTGCGTAATCTTAAACTGAAGTTGCATTCGTTTGAGTCGCACAAGGATGAGATCTTCCAAGTACAGTGGTCGCCACATAATGAGACTATTCTGGCTAGCAGTGGCACGGATAGGAGGTATGAGAGAAAATACATACATACATATGAACATATATCAGTTTTTTTAAACAAATAAAAATTGACAGCCCTATTAATAATATACGTTAGTTATATACAACGAATAATGTTTATTAATTAAGATAATATTATTTAGTTTTATGTAATCATTGGACATAGTAGAATTACTTTCAACATTATAAGTCCAGACAGTGAAGAGTTTTACAACTTGTGGTTGACCATTTAAATAATATAAGGGGCCGTTCAAGTATTATGTAAGCAGATTTATTACAATTTTTTAGCCCTTGTCAGCAAAAGTAAGCAAAGCTCTTACCTCCCCCCATGCTTACGTAAACATTTTCAATTACTGTATTGTTTTTTTTTATAAAAATAAAAAATTATAAATATAAAAATTAAAAATATAAAAATAATAAATATAATCCATAAAAAATTATAAATATAATTTTTTATAGATCTTCTCCCTTTGACGATTAAAAAGTAAATAACTACCGATGACGTAATCAATACCTAGACTCCCCTACCACCCATGTCATCCAAAATAATCAAACCAAAGACCCCTCCGCCCCTCCATAGTGCTTACGTAATATTTAAATGGCCCCTAAGTATGAATAAGAATTTAATATGGTAATATATTTCCAGGCTGCATGTATGGGATCTGTCCAAGATCGGTGAGGAGCAGACGGCTGAGGACGCAGAAGATGGTCCCCCGGAGCTGTTGTTCATACACGGAGGACACACCGCTAAGATATCTGACTTCTCATGGAACCCCAACGAGCCCTGGGTCATATGCTCCGTGTCTGAAGACAATATTATGCAGGTATGGCAACTATTACATACAACTATACATACATGCACTATGGATGTTTTATATAGATAACTAGCTTTCAGATCGCAGCATCCCCCGCGTGGAGTTCGGTTATATCTCGTTTCCAAGAGAACCTATCAAAAGTCTAGGATAAAAACAATGCTATGTTCTTTCTCAAGGTCATCTATATCTCTGTACCAAATTTCATTAAAATCAGTTCAATGCTTTAGGCGTGAAAGCGTAACAGACAGACAGACAGAGTTACTTTCGCGTTTATAGTATTAGTAAGGATGAATGGTATTGGATTACTACGCATTATTTTGTTGCTACAACTACTTACTACCGATGTTTCGATTACTTTGGAGTATGTAGTTTTCAAAAATCCTGAAATATCGCGTAGTAATTCGAATATATGAATATATACTCGGCAAAATCTTAGATCTTATGAAAAAAACATATATGAATTTGATGTACTTTATTTGCAGTGTCGCTGGAATTTTTTTTTATTGCTTAACATGTAGAAACAGGTTTATACTATTTTAAACCAAATAAATGTTATTCAGGTGTGGCAAATGGCTGAGAACATCTACAACGATGAGGAACCGGAAACGCCGGCTTCGGAGCTGGAATCAGGGGTCAACGTGAACCACGGTTAGCGCTCCGACAGCGGCAACGGAGCGCCAGGCCTTCGCCCCACGCACCTTTATGTTGATAGTAATGCATTATGTTAATTGCAGTATAGAATCGGTTCTGAAACATGATTAGTTTGTAAATTGTTCGGCTGAACTTTGAAATTCTGTGTTTATATTTAGGATCTAGTGTTAAGGAATAAAAAAAAGTTTGATGGAACAATCTTAATGATTAAAATTCGTTTATAAAATTTATCGGTGTAAATAATAATTTTTAAATGATAAAATTTCGCTTGGTGGCCACATACTGTGTTGCTGTAATAAAATTCACATACAATGTTTATGGTATACCAAATAATCCGCCGGCCGTTTGTGAATCAAAATTATTCAAAATTCGCTCAAAATATATGGGACCACTCAAAAAAATACTGATACATCTGAATATATATTTTTTTCGAATTTAACATCAAATTCAAAGCGATTTTAAACATACATTACTAGTAATATAAGGTGATGTACGTGGCTTTTACTTCACTTTATAATAACATTGCTGCAAACTTGGTCAGTACCGACAATGTAAGTTTTAATTTTATCTTTTTATACGTAACATAATTTATTTTTGATTATTTTTAACGAACCAACATCTAATAGTTTTAAACGAAGCAATGTTTACTAAAGTGTAGTTCAAGATGGCGCATTATGCACAAGAATCTATCATAGATTCTAGTTAACAGGTTTTATATAAGTATGTTTAAATAAAAATAATTTAAAAACAGGCATATTTCGTTTCACGGTCCCTCGGGAATTTATAAAATTATTTTTTAATATTTTTGTCAAAAAACATGTTCAAACACAACTCATAAGGAAGTTACGATAATATAATGTACCGCCTCTGTATTGAACATTTGGTGTTAATGAATTATCTTTTGTATGTAAAAGCATTTAATTTTTCTATAAATAAGCCTCAACACAGCATGCAAGCTGAACATACTATATGTAATAGCATAGTAAAATTCTTTTTAACTATAATTCTAATTAAGTTATTGTCAGAAGATATTCCATTCTAATTTATTATTAAGTCACAAGAAACGAGGACGGCCCTCGCTCACTTTATTTTATTTTAAAGCAATGGAAGTTAATTATAACCGCTAATTATTATTATGAATAAAAATCTCAATTCCATTTATCGTTTTTATTTTATCATACACAGATTATATAATATTGACAAACGACAGATTTGACATTTCATATAGAATCGTTTAACATTTTCTTTAAAAAAAAAGTATTTTCGATTTTAAACTTAAGTTGAAATATTGATTTTAACAGTAAAAAAAAAGTAAGCAAGTTAAATATGATAACGTAAATGATTCAAATATCTATTTTGTCAGAGAAAAGTTTAGGTAAATTATGCCAGCACTGATAGTAATTGCCGTCTAGTTTTTTACACGTCTCGACGCCCCACTTCGTTATCGCCATACTGAGAGATGACTCGAACATGAAAGCCTGAAAAAGATTAAACGTATGTTAGAAATTTAAAAGGAAGAAAAGACGTTATGGCTTCCGACCATTCTCAATCTATTTATACAAATAGATACTAGTAATACCTGTTCTAAATTTAAATGGTCTGTTTAAATGTCTACCAACAGACAATGATTAATACTTTTAAATAATATTAAATATATAATCTGTATCCAGGATTTTTGACAGTATCCTATAATTCAGATATTTTATTTAAAGAATATGAAAACCTTTTCCATGTTTTTTTTCTTTATATTGTCAGGCTTCCATATGAATTAGTCTAAATGTTAAATCAGGAAAAATTATTTACAAATGTCTGTTAATACTAAGGACTTGAATGAATACAAATCAAAATTGAGAAATGAATTTACAAACGAAATTGGTTGTCTTATGACAGTTTTATCGTCATATTCCATTATTAACAATATTTTTATATAAAAATATTTATTGAATTTCATGTTTACTTTTTACTTTCAAAATGACTGTATTTAGGTACAAATACATTATTTAGAAGATATTACTAACCAAACTATCGTATGTTACCTGAGTCCCTACGGCTATTTTCTGAGGTACCAGTTTTTCCTTGGAGGCTCCTACAAAACATTGTGCATCAGGACCGTGCGGAGTCATCATTGAATGGAGTGAAGCTCCTCCTGGTAGAAAACCACCTTCTTTCGCTTCATACGAACCCAGGATCAGACCCATAAATTCGCTCATACAATTTCCTGTGAAAATAATCGTTGATAAAATAGCATTCAATAGAAATATGAATAATTGACTAATATTTTAAAATATTACGTAATAAATACTTTATATGTATTACTAAATCGTCCTTAGAGGTCTTTTTAATAAGATTTTTTTTAACTCTCTATAAACTTTACGGAACAGATTTTAATTAACTTATGGATATTCAATTTATTATACTATAAATCGGTAGACTTACTATGATAGTAAGGAGGTCTAAATGTATTTTCTTGCACCGACCACCGAGGAGGAAATATCACGAAATCTGCTATGGCAACACCGGGCTTTGTCGAGGGACACGTTAATACAGTAAATATAGATGGATCCTGTAAAATAAGTATATTTAGATGAAAATTATATTAAATTAAATATACCAGTATCTTGCTTTTTGAATATGCTTGTGGAACTTTATCTTATATGGTTAATTTTTGAAAATTTTGGACTTAATTGTTTTAATTTTTTTTAATGTTACTCATTTCTGAACGGTATAAATTGCTAGTTTTATATTAATTACTTTAAAGTTTGTAGATTTGAACCGTTAATTCAATTTTACTTTTCATTTTAAGAAAATGTAATGATGCTTATCCAATATAACTACTAACTATACAGGAAGTCATACTTTTCACAGCTTAATAAATAATAAAAATTACATACACAATGATCGAAGGAAACAGAATTGATGACCATAAACTTGCTAAGGTCGTATTTGTAAGGGACGTAGTTGCCGTGCCACGCGACCACGTCGAATGGAGAATGACCTTGAACAGCCTCGAACAAAGCTCCCTGGTATTTATTTATTATCTTGAAATCTGGAACATAAAAAAATAGTTTTTATTAATAGAAAGAAAATTTTGATAATGAGATCCCAGACCTTCCCGAGTATTCATTTAATTGAAACTAATATTTTTCGGATGCAGTAATCGTTTTTATTATTTTAATCTACATACTTCAAACGTTTAGTTACTTAGCAGCAGCCATAATTATTGAAGGACGAGATGAAATTATAACGCACAGGCATTCAAAAATATTAGTTAATTATACGTACTTTTGATATTATAAACAAAGTTATAGTTTTTTTGTCAATTAACATACCGGGTACTTCTTTATCTTCGTAATATGCTACTGGTGTGAGGAAATCGCGAGGGTTCGCTAAACCATTGGCACCGATCGGCCCTAAGTCGGGTAGTTTGAAATGTCCATCGAACACTTCCAAAATATATCCTCTGAAAAATCAAGATGGTACATGTATACGCTATCGAAATTGGAAATAGGTTTGGCATAGATCAAAAATCACCTTGTGGGCCCATCTACAGCGACGGCAAATCTCATGCCTTGTTGTATGACAGCAATTTCATTTGGTCGTATCTCCATTTTACCGAATTCAGTTGTTATATTTAAAGTTCCTTGTTGTGGAACTGTAAACGAAAGAAAGGTATAAAAATGTTCTGATAGAAAGCAATATGACTAAAGAAATGAAGATACCTATAAGGAAGTCCCCATCACTATTATAAAACGCGCTATTCTCCATAGATGTGTTGCAGAGATAGACGTGTATGGCGATGCCATGTCGTGAGCGAGGATCACCAGCTCCACAGACTGTATGAAGACCAGACGCAAAGTCTACGGAACCTTGAGTAGGAATATCGAAGGGGAGCCAGCGAGACTGGAAAAGAATCAGTCTGTAACTTCAGGAAAGACCTCATAAATATAATTTCATGACGAACTAAATAAAAAAGTTAGCAGATATTGTCCTGTAATGTATTTGTGTATGATCTGAAACCGTTTTTCTCTCTTACGTTAGAGTCTTATAGAGAATTTTAGCTGGAGTAATTCCTACACATGGAAATGTTTTTCCATCGAAAACATATTCATGGTGTATATAAGCTCTTGAATTTGTTAATACGAACTTAAAAGTTATAGTTATAGAAATAAGTTTATATACAAGAAGTTTTATACTTGTAGAAAGAAAAGCAAATTTAATATATTAGTTTACTTAATATTTAGTACTTAGGTAATATTACACAGGTATGTACAGTGCCGGCGTTAGGGGGGGCGAGGTGGGGCGATGGCCCAGGGCGCCATATTTGGGCGGGCGGTTAGTGGAGGTAGGATACTTAGAAATGAAAAAATAAAAAATAATTATAAAAAAATAGGAGCTACATAACTTTCTACGTCCACTTCGTTAGCTCTGGGTCACGCTAAAGGAAAGATGGAAGCTGGTAGATGGAATATAGAATTCTTAATATACGTTCAGTGTTCACATTGGTTCAGAAAAAAATTAATATTCGATTTTGAGTTCTTCAAGTGGGCCCCAAAATATTCTTACCCAGGGTGTCAGTCCCTCTAACGCCGGCACTGGCCGTAAGTAGTTCCATTTTCAACCAGTAATGAAAAAAATTACCTTTTTTATAAATATTTTAATAAGTATGTGCGAAAATCTAAACAGTTTACCTCTAGATGTACTTATGTGACTTTTATTTTTACGTTTAAAGTAGGTGTATCCATATACTTACTTGATTTGGATTTGGTTCTTCGTCATCCCATTTGTGTGTTAGGTGTTCTGAAATCTTCGATCTAACGAATGGCTTGTGGATCACAGACGGGCGGATTCTAATAAAAGTAAAAAATGTTGTAGAATTTACGAAAATCTTGCCTTTTTATCGTACGAAAGTAGGATACCAGGAAACTGTTGATCTGATTTTAAATAGATACCGCAGCTATTTGAAGCCTAAAGCCTACCCTCAAAAGACCTTAATTATATGACTCAGTTTTTAGTCGAAACCTCAATAAGATCAAATACATAATTAAGATCTGGTCAAATGTTGCTACAGTTCAATTTAACAATGTACATGAAATATGCAATAAAATCTTAAGCAACCTGTAAAGCCAAGAGCGTCTGTTTTCTGTCCGTGAAGCCGTAAAGGCGCTGCCTGAAAGCTGTTCAGCGTATAAGCCGTAAGCACAGCGTTGAGGACTGTTCTGACCCTCGGGTAACGCGCCGGGACGACGAGGGTCCTCGCTAGAGAATTCTGACCCGAAGCCAGAAAGATACTAGTGAAAAATTACATTCGTTTCATTAATAGCAATACTTAAATACATTCGAAAAAGTCTGAGGAACAAGAGAAGAAATATAAAAATAATCGGGTTAGGTAATTAAAAATAATTCAAAAGCTAAAACAAAATACAACAAAATATTGCAGCAATAATATTCAATGGTCAAAAGAAAACTTTAGAATCACATTTAGAATTGAATATTTTTACATATCAATCACAGAGTATTCTATGAAAATAATTTTTGTACTGTGACTTAAAAAAATAAAGAGTAACAAAAACTATCAGTGCTTACCTTTAAATTTGCCATTTTTATTACAACGACACGAGTGGTGTTGATATAAAGCGTTTATAAAGACTAAGATGTTTACTACGATCTGGCTAAAATAGTAACCGGTATGCAAATCGATCTGGTTTGTTTATTACGATAACAGGTATCTCTGGTTCAAAATAAATAATATTTCTATACAAAGCAGACCTTCTTGGCGCTGTTTACCAGTTCCAGACTTTAATACTGTAATGCTATGAGTGAAAATCTTTTTATCTTATCAGTGTGCGTTAAGAATTAAACAAAACATAAATATGTATTTTTATTGCTGTATGAAATGTAACAAACATTCTAATAACACATTTAGTAGCAAAACAAACTTCTGTACAACAATTTCTGTAATACTGAACCGACCTAACAAGTATGTAAATATAACAGGTTGATCTAATGAGAAGGCTCTCGATTCCAATAAAATGATGTAAAATATGTAATCTCTATTTGTTATGTAGTGTTTATTTCAGAATAATACAGATGAATTTTTTTTCATTATAACATTTACGAAGTTTTAACTGGCAACAAATTAAAAAAACATATAAAACATCTGCAATTTTGACGTCTTCATTCCAAATACCGCTTAAAGGACCATTTTTGTTTTGTTAAGCAAAATCTGTAATTACGTACCTATGTATTATGAAATGCCGACCCTTAGAAATATTTATTTATATATGCATTTGCATATATGAATTTTGAAATATTGCACCACTTTTAATATATAATTGAAACAAGATAATAATATTGAATCTAATTTTAAATCTTTAATAGTAATAATAGAAACAAGTTATGTGACCTTTAATTCAGCTGCGGTCAATAGTTTAATTTTAACCAATCAGGTTCATACTCATTTTCGTATATTGTTATGGAAATTCTAACCTCTAGGTATACATATATTAGTTCAACAGATAACACTCTAGTCATATTTTTGTTGATAAAACAACACCATTTCGCCATTAGGTAACTGTAAATAAAAGATTAATCAGTCAAACACATATGAAGGGTATTTGATTATTTATTTCAAACTATTTGGATATATTTTTTTCGGAATATACAAGTGAACGTCTACATGTATGATACAAATTGTTCATTTGTATGAATATCGTATGAGTAATTGAAAACTCCTAATATTTAACATTATTATTGTTCCTATTAATACTTTCAGCACAACAACGAAATTTACAAACGAACATACACAAAATATTAACATAGCCAATTTGTTAAACAAATAATTGTACTAGATAAGTTAGCAAGTATATCAACGATCTAAAATTTGGGATTATATATAATCACAGTAACAATTGAGAAGAAATACAAGATTATATTGTGACCTTAGCAAAAGAGTATTCAGTTTTTTTATTATTATTGCATCATACATACATATATTGTGTAATATTTTTTCCAATATTTATGTCCCAATTTATAACAAATAATTTTGGCAAATAATCACAACGGCATTGGAAATAATAAAAGCTAATTTTTAAATTATAATATCAATGGTAAATAATAATTGAAATCACAGATTCAATCGATCAATAAAAATCCATAACAATTTACATTTCATAAAACGAACGACGTTGCCTTCATAAAACGAATAAAATAATAACATTTCATAAAAAAAAATCATTAAAATAATGAAAAATTATTTCTTAGAATAAGTATTTTTACTTACACAACATAAAAAAAAGTTTCATATTCCATAAGAATTCATCGCAAAATAAAAAAAGAATAAATAAAATTGTCAAAAATAATAATATTTTTCAAACATTGGGATATTGCAGCGATTTAACTAAAAGTTTACAAAACTTACGAATTTGCGCCCCGAAAGTTTAACACTTCCATACATATAAAAGCTTCATACAAAATAAAAATTATAGAAGCATCAAAATATAAGACCTAGTCTACATTGTTAAATATATTAAAGAACGAAATATTCTTTATAGTGTAAACTAAACCTTATATAGTGCTAGACCTCCGAGGCACAAGTAATCTTAAGCCTAACTTATATTATATTAATATCACATGGCCCATACAACGGCCTCATTCACATTACATGAACCTACACCTGGGTCGCAAGTCCCAGGTATTGTTGAAGCTCCTCTCACTACAACGATGGACCTAACACTCGCATAGTGAATACATACAACGCTGAGAGGTTTCGTCTCTTGATATATAGAAGCATAGACAAACATTATTTTCTATAATATATAGTTTAACAGCGTTTCCCTTCAACACAAAGCCAATGAAAAAAAATGCGAAATCATTTAAATAGCTTTAAGTTTATAAAGCTACAAAAGACTTGCTTAAAAAAAATTACAAACTCATCCTCTATTCTGGTGAACTTGTAAATAGATTTGTTTAACTTAAATTTTCAACATCTATTTATATCAAGTTTCAGAATAAATTTATCTTTAACGACGCTGATATTGGAAATATTTCAATTAATACATATATCTGAAGATAATATGAAAAATTCTACATACTTCAAGGCTCTTAACTACGTTACACACATTATTTCTTGATAGACATGTACAAATCTATGTTTAAGTATAATATTTAGACCAAAATTAGCCTATCTACATAGCATAAGTACTGATACATTTGAACCTATAGAAAGCGCAATACATTATTATTTGTGCTCAGAGAAAATTAACTGTCTTATAATTTCTATATTATTAGTTTAATTCAATACATTTTCAAACATTCTACTGAACATTTACTAACTACTGATATATTTATATACCAAAATTCAGGATACATAATATTGTCAGCATATTTTAAGTCGGTTATAATTTAAGAAGTTGTGATACAATCAATAATTATGCATGTATTTTTATTATGATAAATTATTATATATTGCACAACTTATTATAATTAAGCAATTAATGAGAGATATTTTTTCTTAATGGATTATTTTCCATATATCTATTACATACTATTGTATTAATATTTTAAATTGAATTAAAAGCGATACAAAATAACGGATATAATAATGTCTGCGTATAGTTTAAGTTATATATATTACTTATTAATATTTTCACTGTTGTGGTAACATGTGCGACCAGGCCTTTTCATACTTGTGGTAGGCTAAACTGCATGGAGATTTTGATGCTTCCACAACACTCAATGGGAATGGTTCATGCTGAAAGAAAATCATAAATTAGTATTCTGTAAATAAAAATTAAATTAAATATTTTATTTGTTCTTTGATATTACAAAAAACTTGCTTTCTTGATACTTAAACAATATTTTCAATATGGATATATTGTGTTTCTATACAAAAGTTACTCAGTTTAAGATACTACATTCATTCTTTATTAACAAGAAATATCAAATGAATTATGCTCACAATATAAATTCTATTTTTAAATTAATGTTAAGTCATGTTATTTATATTATAGAATCAGACAAAACCATTACAAAATTTGCCAGTCATTTTCAATGTACAAATCACACATTTTCATTATGTCATTAATAAATTTAAATATCATTAGACTCATTTATATTTTATATGCTATTGATAATGTTGGTATTATTACAAAAAATAACAATAACTAGACTTTCTGGTTTGGTTTGAGTGAAACCTAAAATTTTACTATGGCAACATAAATTTCGGAAAAGTAATAAATTCAAATAGCATAGTCTCAGCCTCAATTGAGTGATTAGATTGAAAAATATATTTTGGATGTGGTTTTGTATCAGCATTGAAGAACAGCATAATAATATTAAGACTTTGTTGGCTGTATGTCTATAATGTAACGTAATATTATGGCGGTTGAAATTTTAACATTTATTTTTGACAACAAATATTTAAAAAAAAATATCCAAGCAGGCTCTCGTTTACCAGATATGACTAGTTTTTATAAATAATAACGGGTGTCCCATCTAGCGTTTCGAATTTGAACTAACGATAATTTGACATTGGAGACGTCAACTGTCATCGGAGAAGTGTCACATATTTAGTAATAAGTCTGACATTTACGAAATGGGTCGCTATTCGCTTGAGGAAAGCTGGGAAATATTAAAAAATTATTTCCAAAGTGGTGAATCGCCAACGCAAACTGTGCGAAATTTGAAAAAAATATTTGCCAAAAAAGATTTGCCATCGGAGGCATATGTGCGGCAATTTGTGAATCGTGTGCGCGAAACTGGATCACTGTTGGATAAAACAACACGTAAACGTCCATTTCCATCAAGGTCAACCGAAAACATCGCTGCGGTGGAACAAAGTGTTCGTGAACGGCCATCCACATCGATTCGTCATCGAGCGCAAGAGTTGCACCTTTCTCGGTCAACTACGCACCGAATTTTGCGCAAAGATCTTGCCCTGAAGCCATATAAAGTTCAGTTGGCCCAACAGCTGAAGCCAATTGATCATCCGAAACGTCTACGGTTCGCAAATTGGGCGGAAGATCGTTTGGCCGAAGATGGTGAGTTTTATCGAAAAATCATCTTTTCCGACGAGGCTCATTTTCACCTCGGCGGTTATGTAAATAAACAAAACTGCCGTATATGGGGCACAGAAAACCCGCACGTCGTTGAGGAGAAACCGATACATCCACAACGAGTGACTGTTTGGTGCGGATTTTGGTCCGGCGGCATCATCGGCCCATTTTTTTTTGAAAATGATGAAGGAGCCGCCGTAACCGTCAACGGCGAGCGCTACCGCGATATGTTAACTGATTGGTTTTTCGGTCAAATGGAAGAGTATGATTTGGACGATATTTGGTTTCAACAGGACGGGGCTACGTGCCATACAGCCCATGCTACGGTCGATGTTTTGCGCCCAATCTTCGAAAATCGCATAATCAGCAAAAATGGTGATGTGAATTGGCCTCCAAGAAGCTGCGATTTAACACCATTGGATTATTACCTTTGGGGAGCGGTCAAAGACGTTTGTTACGCCAACAAGCCAAGCACGATTGATGACTTGAAACATGAAATTGAAGTTGCCATTGCTGCCATAAGGCCGGAAACAATTGAAAATGTACTGAAAAATTGGACTGATCGAATAGGGTACTGCCAAGTAAGCTGTGGTGGACATTTGACCGAGATAATTTTTCACAAATAATGTCATGAATTATGCTTTCAAATAAATGTTTGATCATTGAAATCTATCGAGTCGTTCTTTTTTTATAGCCTTTTTAAATTCGAAATTTTCCGTGAGACACCCTATAGTAACCATGAGTGGTAAGTTTTATGTGAGCGTTTTCAAAATTCGTTCGATATTCAAATAAGGTTCCAAATTTGAATATGTATTTACCGTTAACATTGAGTGCGCGTCCTCGATCGCCGCTAGTAGTCTTTCAAGCTCCGCGGCGGACGGTAGTGCAAGAGCGAGTCCAGCGCCGCGCTCTCTAGCTTCACAGACGCTCCATTCCTGTATTAATAAAATATATATTACATACACAGGGCAGACCCTGGCTAAAGCTGGGAAATTGCCAGGAAGAAGAAAAAACTACAACCAACACATAGTAAACACTACATGCCATGAAATTTGATCTCAGTGTATCTATTTTATAGTAATTTTTGTTGCTATGACTATGATGAAAAGTTGATAATGTATACTTGAAAATCAAAATTATATTTGAATCTTGGAAAATGCTTTAAAAATAGTCAATTATTTTAGTTTATATAAGAACTAGTGTCATACATATAATTTAGCATATTTTTCAGTATTAATATTAATATTATTTTAAATATATATTAATAAAATTAAGTAACTAGTGGCCAAGTGGTTAAAAGGCCCGCGTCTCCTGCCTCAGGGCGTGCGTTCGATCCTGGCAAATACCGATGTGATTTTTCCGAGTCATATGTACTTTCTAAGAGTATTTAGACCTCACTGATTAATGCATTCCCAAAAAGGGTTGATGTCAGACAGGCGGCAGGTCATAAAAACAAATAGCCAAAACTATTCACAACATGTAAGGCAGACCCTTGCTAAAGCTGGGAAATTGCCAGTTAGAAGAAGAATTTTCAGTGTTAAACAGATTTTTTTGCTTATATGCTTACCAAACAACACCAGTTCTCATCGTTGTCGGGTATCTTAAAGGCCGTCAGATTCTTTATTGAACCGCAGGCTAATATTTCAATGTCCGTGTTCATTTCCTCGACGTATTCTGTAAAATTAAATATTAAATAAATCAGTATTATTGTAATAATTATTTGATTCGTATAATAGTTATTGATAACGTCTTATGTTTAGAGTTTCATGACTGTAGATGTCACTAGTTATGATAGCTTTAACATTCAATTAATTCTAAATAGTATTTTAATTGGAAGTGAAAAAAATTAATTTCCTATGTTTTACATTATATGTAAAATTCAGTTTTGATTTGCAAATATCGGAAAATTTTTATAGAGAATAAAAAATATTCTACATATACAAAGAAGCATGTAATATGCAAATACATACTCTAAAATAGCAAGTTTAATAAAATTCTCCTTATACCAGGCGCGGCCAAACCGGTCGATCGATATCGTTAGTTCAGTCCAGCCAGTCAAAAAATATAAATAAATAGACCAAACTGTGCATTTTAATTATCAACAACTGAAGCATCATCTTGTATCATTTTTCATATCTGTTCCGTCACGTCATTTATGCTCTATTCTACAAAGTATGGTGTTTTGTGTTCGACACACATTATTACTCTGCGTTGCGACATATTTTTAAAAGCAAGGTCTTCCGCAGGTCAAGATTTCTGGGCATTGGTTTTTAAAGAAAAATATCCAAATTTGAAAAAATGTGTTGAATAACTTCATTCGTGTTTTGGTTCAACAAATTTATGTAAATCAGCATTTTCCTACTTAAAACAAACCAAAACTAAACACCGTTCTCGCTTGACAGACCCTCATACAGTAGATTCTTTAAGGTTGGCAATTTCAAACTACAAACCTGATTATGTTAAACTAGTGGAAAATGTTCAGGCGCAATGCTCACACTAATATACAGGGTGACTGGTGAATTACTATCAATATTTAAGGAGAATACTCGGTACATGATTCTCATTCGAATTATGTAAAAAAAATAGGCACTTAATTTTTGACAAAATTTCCGTATAAATAAGTAAAGTGTGTACACGTTCCAAGTGTTCAAGTGTGGACGCGTGCGGCGGCGTGCTGATACAACACTACGTCGCGAGACGCGTATGTGTGAGTGTGTGTGTATACCTGATCTGTAGGGTGTTAACACGATGCGTAATTAATTACATAACTTTTGGTTAACTTTACTTAGAAGTTTATTAATATTTATGTTATATTAATTTTATTTTATTTTTATTTTATTTTTAGTTTATTGGTAATCCAACAGCGTTACAATGATCTTAAAATAATAACAATACAACCATAAATAAGGCCAATTTAGGATTACACAAATTTTCATTTATACAGTTACACTCGAGCATACAATTAATAATAAAAACAAAGGGAAAAAAAAGCAGAGCAAATGGTATTACATACAAAAGTGTGTGCTTGTGTGTGTGTGTGTGTGTGTGTGTGTGTGTGTGTATGTGTGTGTATGTGTGTGTGTATGTGTGTGTGTATGTGTGTGTGTATGTGTGTGTGTATGTGTGTGTGTGTGTGTGTATGTGTGTATGTGTGTGTGTGTGTGTGTGCGTGTGTGTGTGCGTGTCTGTGTTTTTAATATACTATTACTATACTATCTTTATTATTTCTTTCTTAAGTTGGTTTCTTGAAATATGGTTCAGGTCTAGATGTGAATAGAAGCTATTATATGTTTTCGCTAAACGAATAGGTATTGAATTTTTGGCGTAGTTTGTTTTCCTCTTGGGCACGTGCAGCAACGCCGTGTGACGAGTTCTGTATCTCGGTACTTGTAGCGATAAGGCTGACAATAGGCAAGGACAATCAAGTTTTCCTGTCAGTATTGCTTGCAATTGTAACATATCACTCTGTTTTCGTCTCTCTTCAAGAGAATCAATTTTTTAGTTAATACACGCTTCCTGGTAATTATTAAATTGCTTGTATTCTTTAAATGCCAGATACTTCAAAAAATGCTTTTGGATCATTTCAAGGCGCTGAATGTGAGTATAATAGTATGGCGACCAAATATTGGAACCATATTCCAATAAACTTCTTACGTAAGCGCAGTAAAGCGTCTTTATACAGTCTATGCTGTCGAAAGTTTGGGTGACTCGCTTTATGAATCCAAGTTGTTTATAAGCTTTGTTTATTATACTGTCTAGGTGTTCATGCATAGAGAGCTTATAGTCAAACATAATGCCAAGGTCTCTAACAGAAGTTACTTTTGAGATATGTACGCCATTTATATTGTAGTCATAAGTAATTGTGTGAGTTTTTCGTGCTATAGTTATATGACAACATTTATTAACATTAGCTGTGATTTTATTATTTGAATAGTACTCAGACAGTGAGTTGAGATCTTCTTGCAGTTTTTGACAGTCTGTCCTATTTTTTATTTTTAAAAATATTTTTTTTATCATCTGCAAACAATAAGTGCCGGGCATGTTTGAAACAATTTCCTATATCGTAAAGGTAAACGCCATATAGGAGTGGACCTAGAATAGAGCCTTGTGGCACTCCAGAAGGTACTGTAATGTAATTACTTCGAGCACTACCTATTACCACAGCTTGCATGCGATTTCTGACATAGGAACTGAACCACCTCAATAGATTACCGTGTATACCCAAAGTGCTAAGTTTTTGCAATAGGATTACATGGTCCACACGATCAAAGGCTTTTTCTATATCAGTGTAGATAACATCTACCTGACAATGATCGTCCATACTGCGCAATACATAATCTGTAAACACTGCTAGGTTCGTGACAGTTGAACGGTTTTTCATAAAGCCATGTTGTTCAATTGGAATTGATCTTGAAATGGAAGGGTTGATGTATTTATAAACAACTTTTTCAAACAATTTGCTCATTGCGTTCAAAATTGAAATCGGCCGATAATTTTCTATTTGAGTTTTGGGGCCACATTTGTGAATAGGAACTATAAGTGCTTCTTTCCACTTCGAAGGGAAACATCCAAAAATATTAATTGATGAGTTAAATATTATTGTTAGCGGCTTGGCAAGATTATTTGCACATTTGTTAAGAAATAGTGGAGGAATGTTGTCACTACCAGGTCCTTTATTTAGTTTTAAGGTTTTTAAAAATTGTAATACGACATCTTCTGCAACTGTAAAATTAGAGACAATGTCATTACTTTTTATTGAATCTATCGGATCTGAGATAAAGATATTAGTTTCCGTTGGTTTTTTGAAAATACTCTCAAAGTATTGACTGAAACCTTCACAAGCATCAGACTCGTTACAATACTTATTATTACCTAAAGTCACTTATATTTTTCCGAATAGATTTTAAGTACGACCAAAGATATTTAGGTTCTTTTTTTATGTAGTATTGCATGCGTTGTGTGTACGATTTGTAACATTTATCCTGTACTCTTTTCTGCCTAGCACGAAGAAGTGTAAATTCGTCATAATCTCTGGGATTATTGAACATTTTCCATTTTTTATGCTTACTGAGCTTTTCTGAGACAATGTGCATGAGAGATTTAGAATACCACGATGGAAAGTTGGATTTAAACTTGATTGTCATCGGAACAAATTGGCCTATTGTATCGTACAGTATAGAGTAAAAGTTGTTTACCACGTCGTCTATATTGTCTGCTGTAAGAACATCGTGCCAATCAATTTCGGATAAGTAGCTATTAATTTTAAGATAGTCTCCCTTGAAGAAATTATATTTTTTCGACGGTTTTGAGCGAAAGTTTTGAATATAAATATTTGAAAGGTCAAACTGTAAACAAGGATGATACGTGTCTTCTAATACAAGAGGAGTCTCGCAATGACGTACATCAATATCAATATTGCTGAATATTAAATCCAACGTATTTTCCCTGGGGTTCTTAACGTGGTTATATTGTTTTAGACCTGATAAGTTGCATACATCCAAAAAGTTTATCGTAGCAGTATGCAAGTCAGTTGGGCCACGCCTTTGCAGTATGGGTTCAGATTCGTTCCAGGTAATGTTTGGTAGATTAAAATCTCCTACTACAAGAAAGTAGTCATTAGGATGCATCATGAGGATTTTGGCTAAACAAGCAGTAATTGTTTCAAGACGTGCATGCAACAAATTATCAGGGGGGATATAAACCAGACAAATATGGACATGTCGATTTATTTGTGCCTTAAGTGATCCAGAGGGGATGGTAGCCCATAATGATTCAACACCTGGACATGTCCAGTCGATTTGATGCTGGATGTGTAGGGTTTTTGAAGCACACAGTAATACTCCTCCGCCTAATTTCTTTGAGGATGTTGTTTCGTTTCTATCATATCTTAATATATCATAACGGTCGTCACAAATTTCGGCTTCGTAAAAACCGCCTGTAAGCCATGACTCCGTTATAAGAATCAAGTCAAAATTATGATTAAGTATATTTTGTCGAATCTCATTAGTTTTTGTCCTTAAACCACGTACATTTTGGTATAATATTTCAATAGGTTTAACTGACATTTATCTAAATACTTTGGTTTCAAAGTATCTTTGTTCGTATGTAGTGTGATGTGTATTAATGTAGTGTGAAGTGTATTTATGAACAATGAACAAAACAAGAAAAAATAAAAAGAATATAAATGAAAACAACAACAAAGTTACGTTATGACTATCTAGAGAAGGAATTATTTTATTTTGTCATATATGATCGTCAAATATCACGTCCTCAAATATCGATAGTAATTCAGCAGTCACCCTGTATAGGACTCTAATATTAAGTACATTTAATAAAACGATCTCACATGTGATATGAAAAGAAACTACTAAGACTGGTTAATAAACAATACATGATTGTGTACTAAACTATACAGTTTAATTTTAAGAAGTATGCACTTGGAAGATCGCATAGGGTTTCGTTAGTAAACAGTAGATCTTAGGTCTAGTCAAGTTAGCCACCCCTGCCTTATACGATCTAAGACCCGTAATCCTTATTATGTTAGAACCATTACAACTTAGAACCATTCAAGCAAGTTTAAGAGACTTTTTATACTAAATGTCAAATACATGTCACAGCAAATACTTGTAGTTCTATGGTATTCAATAATTATATACATGGTGTTAAAATTTATTTAATTATAATATTAACCTTTGAACAGTGCTTCCGAGCCCCTGTCTTTAAGGTAAGCCGCTGCTCCTGCTACAAAGGCGAGGTCCAAGGTGTCTCTTAAACTGACCACCTCGGTGGGAGTCACTAGTATAGTACAGGCTGGTGGTGGACCCACACGTTCACACTTCTTAGAACCATCCTTTTCTTCGAGAGCCTGGAATTTGTTAAAGAAGGTTCGCTTAATTTAAGTCTTGTAAAAATAGGCATAATTTTTGTTAAAGCTGTAAGCTTAGCATTGGATGAGACAATAGAAAAATACTTTTATGTTAAAAAATATATCAAAAGACTTCAAAAATAACTTACAAAGTTCACTCTAGTCAACTACACAGAATATAAGTTTTGCTAATATTTAATTACATATTGCAAATGTAATATATATGAGTATAAGGGGGGTTGGGGGTCGAGTCAAATCTCATCTAATCTTACATTAGAGGGAGGGGGTGTCTCGGCAAATATTACGTAATTTTTTTCTGAACGAACAAAAAAAAAGGATGACTTGTATGATTATTATAAATAAGTATTATTTTATCACTCAGATCTACCTGAGCAGCATGTAGCAATAGTGATTGCAGCCATGATGAGGCTGTGGGGTCATCGGGGGCCGCTAATAACAATCTGCTATTGTCCCCTAATGCAATCTCGAAGCAATGTGGTCTACGGGACACGTCCACATGACGCCTCACCCCTACTACGGAGCGGAGGGATATGTTATTTGGGAGTGGAGTCCCGTCTGGTGAATGAGGACCCCAGTGAAGGACCCCAGCCCTGTAATATGGAAATAAATTTGGTTATAAATTAATTGTAATATATATTATGTTAGTGACAAATGTTGTGTTAGTATTGACAGGTAAATTCGAGATCTTTGCAAACAATTTCTGGAAATAACCAATTATTATTGAGTCTTTTTAAAGAGACTTCCATGTTGGAAGATTGTTTACAATGTTTTATGTGTTCGTAATTATGTAAATATAAAATTAATATGTTGATAAAAATATATGTCGTTATTATTGCGATAAATAAAGTGAAAGACGGGTGACATTTAAACTTCAACAACAATTTTAAGTAAAGATTTGTGAATATTTTAATACAGAACTCCCACTGTAAATCATCTAGCACCAGTTTTTGCTCGGGACTTCATTCTTGTAAACTTCAGAATTGGCGTCAGAGGGGTAATATAAAGTGTGATTAAACAAAACTATATTATCCACTCAGCAATGACATCTATTGTCTTCATACAACATTGTAAGCCGGTATTTCGGGTTACACCATATATCTTATTATGACAGCAAAGCTATATTATAACTGCTAAGTTACATAGAAATCATTATAGTATAAGTAAATAGACCCTACACACTCTCGCATTTATGTTAACAGCATACAACGGTTTAAAATAATATGTTATAACATTATCAGTAATATACATATTTATTATAGTAGGTAACTGTTATTACCTTAAACTCTGACTGTTACTTATCTACGCCTTTTTATCGAACTTTTTTACGACTCTTCATTACTTTCTCCTTTTATCTTATATAAAAAAAAAACCGTCAACCCGTATGATATTTACTTGTAATAAACAGTTTTTCTTCTATGTTTCGAACAAACATAATATTTATAATATAAGCGGTTTTTTTGAATAAATGTTTTGTATGATTAATAAATTAATTTTATTTATTCAAATCAGTCCGATAGATGGCGTTATAGTCGGTGTGTGGGTTATTTAAAATGAAAGATCAACGTACTTTTCTATCCATATGTATTGTTTTAACTTATGCACTTTATATATTTCTCTTATACGCGAACGGTTTCGCGAGCAAAACTAGTGTATATCTAAAAAAAACCGACAAAATAGATTACTCTATTAGCGATTGCCGTAATATCTATAAGATTTAAGAGTTAATTCCAAGGACGTCGATAGAAATGACTTTGTGAATTTCGTAATAAACTGAAATAAGTAGGTCAGTGTTTCGTTCTATTGCTCTTCTAATTATTTATAATGTGATTGTATCTTGATTCGAGAGCGTGAAGTTTTAAGAACAAATTGTAAAGACGTTCGCGGAGTTATATACGAAAATATATAATTTTTTTATAGAAACACATACACTAAATTTACTATTATAAAATTTGCAATGAATAACTAGTAAAATCATGTTAATTAAACCTTATAACAATTAACACCGTATATAATATGAGATAAATAAAAAGCCATTGCAATTTATTGAAGCCATAAATTAGTTTTTTTTTTAAATTACAAATCATAAATGTCAAGAATCTTTTTTACCACCATTATATCCACGGTTTAAGTTTCCTCCATTCAGCTTTCACAAAAATCTCGTTTATTTTTTATTATGACTTGTACAGTTACATGTTATGTTATATGGTTACGGTAAATTATTCTTTTACTCAATTATAACATTTTTTATATAAAACTTTAATTTAATAAAAAATAAATACTTTTTTATTATAACAAGAAGTTTGTATATAACTTTATAACTATTACTAAAAATTTAAATATTGAATGCAAAATTCATCCAAGTAATATCGATGAATTGTAACGCTTAAATAATTACTATGAGAATTTAATATCGGTGAGGGTATTTTTTTATGATTTTTATTTAAAAAAAACCTTACAGATTCCACCATACACGCACTCACTCACATATACACACCCCACACACGCACACACATATACATACACGTACACAGAAATGAATGCTTGTGTGTGCGTGTGAGTGTTTAATTATCTATGAAGATATAAGATCATTTGAACATTATTAATATAATACTTGCATAATAGTTCCTACAATGTAATTACCGACTCTAGCTTAATTAACTAATCGTTCTGCAGTACTTTTTCTTCTATTACATATATTTTATTCATTAAAGTGTTGATCCTTATGTGACAGCATTTTGGTTATGTCAATTCATAGAAGACATGTTTTTGAAACAAATATCATCTTCGAAATTTCAGTTGTTTATTAACATACATAATAATTTTGCCATTCTTTATTCGACGTAATATTTAATGACGTTAAAATAGTATAAAATTAGGGCGTAAAATTAAGTATTAAATAACAATATATTATAGGATTTCAATTACAAATATTAGCAAGTAACAAATATAAATCGATGGGTATTAATATCTGGGAATTATTTAATCTTCTGCATATAAACAGTATTCTATTTAAATTACAACCTTGCTACCCTTCTCTTAAACTACCTTCATTTCTATCAACAAAAAGTTCATTACCAAATCTAATTCAACAGTTATTGTTTTATCTGAACCTACTTATAAATGCTCAAGTAAGTGATGTATGTATGTTTGTCTTAGATATAAAATACACCTAACGGATTTTGATGAACAGATATCTTTCTGACGTCAATTACGAAGCCTATGCAGACAAAAGTTGCATGCAGAAACTAGTATTTTGTAATATGTCATAAACTTCTAAAGGCTATACAAATGATTACGTACCTTAATAGGAAGTAACACGGTTCAAATCTCTTGCTCCTATCAGTCTTGCACATGAGGTACCCCTCTAGTGGTGGGGCGAAGGCTCCTGGCGCCTCCACTAAGCGATCCTCTGCGTCCCCGGAACACGCTCGACCGTAGTATAAAATCGGTGGCACCTTATAACATATATAATTATGATAAGAGAAGTAAATATATATATGTTTATCTGTAATTATTTACTATTATAAATATATAATAAAAAATCTGTTTTCATATTTCATTATCCTTAGGGGGATATTCTAGTGGAAAAATAAATAAAGATTTGATTGATATACTTAAATTGATGTATCGCGAAGATCATAAAAATACTTTTTTTAATACACTTTAGTGTTGCCAACTGAGGAAGATTTCTAACAAATAATATACATATGAAAAACTAAATAATCTTCATATAAAAATAAAGCTACTCGTTTTTTATTATTTTATGACTACATAATCTCCACGTTTCGGTTCATTTGCAGCAACGTGGTCACGGGCAGATGAGATGAAAGTGACACATTTCCTTTACTCTTATTTTGTTTTACTTTTTTTTACGTAATACGCGAAAACCATAATGTATATAGTTTTTTTTCAAATTCTTAATACATTTAAAGCTACAAGACTAAAGAAAACTTTACATGAATTTCCATGTAATATTTTTCGTAATATTAACGAAATGTTAAGCCAATACATAAATTTAATTTTAAATATGAAAATATTTAATGAAAAATCGATACAAGCAGGATTCGAATCTACAACCAAAAAATATCTTATTCTATGTAGTTGTTTTATCAATCCACCTCGTGTGTCAACACGTCAGCTTAGTTTGAAAATCAATTGAAATTCTATATACAGGTCGTTTTAGGTTCGAATTCTGTTCATAATGAATTTTTATTATATATTTACTCTCCATATTATAATTATATATTATTTTCTAGTTTAATATCGTGTATAATAACCCTTGTTTCATGTCTTTTCCTTGTAACAGCGGCGGCTAGATGTTTGCAGGATAGCGGCAGCATGGCCGGAGGGCGTTGTATACGTAGGGGCGAAGTCCTAGCGCTCCATTCCAGACTCGACGCAAGCCTCGCCCCCAGTGAAGACTCGCCAGTGACCACAGAACATGCTATGTTACCAGCCACATCAATCACTTGGATGTAATGAGCTTCGGGACCGACCTGGTGCGAAAAAGATTTTCGTTACAGCAATTGAAACATATTTAGACAGAATATTTGATTATATATTTGCTTTTTTTCATCTTCTTCATTCAAAATAATGACCATGAATCTTCGAAAAATGATTTCTATTGATCCATTCATAAATCCATAAACATTTTTCTCATTTTAGGTGTATGAAGGAAAAAATTCGAAATTTTAAAATATAAACTCTTTCTAATTAAAGTGTTGTATTGTATTAGTATAGCTTGTACATTACTACGAATGGCTTAAAAGAAATATAACTAAATAAATTTTTGCCCATAGCGAAAGAAAAAAAATGTCATAAAAAACAATAAACATATTGATAATTGAGGTTTACTAAAGTTACATTATTTAACAAGCATGTGTCTTTATTTACAATGTTAAATTTTTAGCAATTTGTCGTTTTCTTTTTTTGTTTGAAATGTCTGAACATATTTGATAGGATTTTAATTCTATGGTAGACGTTTTTAGGACAACATATAGACGCTGACACGCTGCGAACTGGTCGTGCTTAAAGAGAAAATCGAAGATAAGTCTGACGAAAGCAGTTATATAATAAAATCCTTAAACTCTGCTACATACAAAATTATTAATGTTAGCTGAAATCCATTACTTCGTCTTCGTATATTGATATAATATGTAATTTTAAAGTTACCGTATTATCTTTAACTTTAATGAGTTTTTATTGAATAATAATTCTTTAACAACTTAATAAGACTCGTTAAAATTATAAAGATTTAATCAAATGAGTTACGAAGATTAATTTATGTAAAATAGTAATATATCCGCATCTTGTTTTACGATGAGAACGATTGGTAAGACGGAAAGTACGTATAAGATGCTATCTGAAGTTTCACTTTTTTGTACATATGTATATGTGCAATTTTTTGTACACATTTACATGTGACCCACATAACATTGGGATTTACGGAAGATTAAGAATTTTTAGCTCCTTTAAGACGTATATAGACTTACTGGTGACTAAACTGTAAACAGGTCACGCAAAGTATTGCGTGTGTAATGTCACTCATGCTTTTTATAAGGGGAGTGAGTCACTATTTAAAATGCACATACAAATTACAATTTATCTTGTTACTGGACACTTGTTATTATGAGATTATATTGTACTTGTTGTAACACTCGTCTTTGTCCGTGTTTTTCTTTGATATTAATGAATTTATCCCTACTAATATTATAAATGCGAAAGTAACTCTGTCTGTCTGTCTGTTACGCTTTCACTCCTAAACCACTGAACTGATTTTAATGAAATTTGGTACAGAGATAGAATTGACCTCGAAAAAGAATATAGAATAGTTTATATCCCAGACTTTTGAAAAGTTCTCTTGGAAACGCGATAAGCCACGCGGGCGAAGCTGCGGGCGGAAAGCTAGTGTTTTTATACAGGGTGACTGGTGAATTACTATCAATATTTAAGGAGCATACTCGGTACATGATTCTCATTCGAATTATGTAAAAAAAATAGGTACTTAATTTTTGACCAAATTTCCGTATAAATAAATAAAGTGTGTACACGTTCCAAGTGTTCCAAGTGTGGACGCGTGCGGCGGCGTGCTGATACAACACTACGCCGCCGCCGCGTCTGTGTGAGTGTGTGTGTATACCTAATCTGTAGGGTGTTCATACGATGCGTAATTAATTACATAACTTTTGGTTAACTTTACTTAGAAGTTTATTAATATTTATGTTATATTAATTTTTATTTTGTCATATATGATCGTCAAATATCACGTCTTCAAATATCGATAGTAATTCACCAGTCACCCTGTATATTCAGCTCCAATATGAAGTTCCTTTGAGTTTTGTAATATAAAAGTTTAATTTTTTTATAATCTTCTACGATTGTTTAGCTATGACAGTTTACTATATTCACATAATTATTCATGATTTATATAATTGTTTTGTTATGAATAATAGTGTTTATACGTTTTAACAATAATAGTTTTTATTACGAAAAATTATCAATAACCTTTGTTTATCTGTAGGGACAATGCTTGTTTGTTGGCCTCGTATATTTTTAATGCGAAATAAAGTATCGATTTCGTTTAATAATATTTATATGAGACTAGCTTTCCGCCCGCAGCTTCGCCCACGTGGACTTCGGTAATATCGCGTTTCTAAGAGAACCTTTCAAAAGTCTGGGATAAAAACTATCCCATGTTCTTTCTCAAGGTCCACTCTATGTCTGTACCAAATTTCATTAAAATGAGTTTAGTGGTTTAGGCGTGAAAGCGTAACAGACAGACAGACAGAGTTACTTTCGCATTTATAATATTAGTAGAGATTATAAGGAATGATTTTTTAAGTTTTGTGACTTTATTTTGGTATACTTACAGCGATTGCGTCTAGTTCATCATGGGGTAGTCTGCAGAGTATGTCATACTCCGTACCGCCCGGCTTGACACTCGCCACGTATAGAGCGTAGTCCGTGATGAAAACTAAGAGCGGCGTCCAAGAACCATCTTCCATGCTGTATGGAGACTGCACTTTCATCATCTGCACCAATAAATAAATCACATTCAAGACTACCACCAATTTAAAAAATATATATATGGCGAAAATGATTTGTTCATACTTCAAAGTAGATTCATTGTTAACTTAGCTTTCTAATGAAATGCGATAAAAACTAAATTTTTATGAAACCTCTTTTAATAAAAAAAATGAAATAAGAATTGAAATTGTGAATGTTTTCGAACTTTAAAAAAAGAATAGTGTTATCAATCAAAATAAAGGCTTACCCTATTAAGTGTTTCATTTGGATATGAGAATATCTGAAGCCGTAGCTTTTCGTTGCATTCGATAGCCACGTTGTCTTCGAAGCTATCGAAGTATGATGGTTCATCGGCTGTCAGTAATCTGACCGACAAACGTTTGTTCTCTATAACTTCTTTGTCGATGAGCCGCGACATCCTTGCTGCGGAAATGTTATAAGTATCGGACACATCTTTAAACGGATATATGATGCTGGGAAACAGTCTCTCCATTCTCAGTTTGAGTTGATAGAACTTGTTGTTTTTAATCTTCAGTTCTAGATCTTTCTTCTGGCAAACGTTTTTCAGATATCTGTTGAGTATGATCGATTTGTTGCTCTGCAATTTCTGATTGGATGGGCTGTCGAAGTAATCGTCGTTGAAATCGTCTGCGCCTTTTAGGGTTGAGTTGTCCGTGTTTGAGCAATTGTCGCTGGCATCATCATTCTTCTGTGCAGCCGTTGAAGCGGACTTGCGACTGTATCTATTAACATTCTGCTTCTTTGGTGAAGACAGGTGCTTGGAAATGCCGTTCTTCTGTTCAGTTTCTTCTTGCACGTTCTTGTTGAATTGGCGCTTCGGTGTAGATGTCCTACTTGAATTATTATCGTCGGATTGTTTGTTCAAATCCGTCTTGCTAGAACTCAACACTATCTCCTTGATAGGTGTGGATTCTGGTATCGGCACGAAAGATTCTTTGGGTGCTTCGAATGCTGTTTGAAATGTATCATGAACGTAGCTGTAAGAAACTCCTTTGTGTTCATACACAGTACTCTCGCAGTTGACCACGTATTTGCTGAGCGGCGGCAGCACGTCTTTGTTTAATAGTTTTTTGTCGTGTTGTGCTTTCATATTGAGAGTCAATTTATGACGAGGCGATCCCTCGCTTGGAGTTCGATCTCCTGCCACGGAAGTCCTTGAACCAGTCATAACTTCTTTAGGCTTATCCAAATCTATAGGTTGAGAGTTCAAATTGATTTCAACAAAGTCATCCTCATCGTCGATTTGAAAGCCAGAGTCTAAGCTTTTCGAAATTTTCTTAGTATTCTGATTGACATCACATGATAAAGCTTCAACAACGTTGTTAAGTTCCAAACTAGTTTCCGGCAAGCCCTTTTCAGGTGCAAAGTTGAAATTGAAATTTTTATAGAAATTCTTCAATGAATCGATTATGTTGTTGGCGTCAAGTAAACTCAAGACTTTGTTATTATTCTTCCTCTCTTCTACGATGTTTGTGCTGATGTATCTTTTTTTCTTGAGCACCGATTTCACTGTGATCGGGCTCTGTGTCACTTCCAAAGGCTTGTTCTTTCTGTCGTTATTCTGATCTATGTCAGCTTCCGAGAAATATGTCTTTCTTATGAACGACACATGCCCTCCACCATTCTCGAAGCCGTCGCAGGAGAATGACTTTTGTGTTTTGTCCGTTTTCTTGTGGACTTGTAATGTTTCCGTTTTATGTGAGTGTGAGGAGGAAGTATCACTGGATGAGGTTTCTGAATCGCAGCTGAAGTTTGAATCTGAGCTATTCGAGTCACAGCCGTACATTTTGTTTGTGGCCTTTGTTTCATTATTGTTATCAGAATCCTTATTGTCTTGATTATTTCTTTCAAAGCCTTGAGTATATTCAAATATACCACTTCTGTCATGCTTTGAATCTCCATATGTGAGTATATCTGACATTGTCTGTTGAGCTACATCAGCAGCATATTTCGGTTGTTGCCTATCTCCAGACGAGCACCATGAGAATCTATCATTTACAGCATTCTTTTGCCTGAATTTATCACAATATGAACCATTTGGTCCATAAGAAATGAAGCCTCTTTCTATATGAATATTATCAGTTCTTGTATTATTTAAAATGTCCTCATGAAAAGACACTCTTTTTTTCTGTGAGCTGGGTCCACTTTGAGATTTTTTTCTACATCTCCGCCTATATACAATGTCCTCTGATAAAGATTTCTTTGGTTCAGTCGACCTTAGAGCAGACTTTTTAACATCATCAGTACAAACTTTCTCACTCTCCAATGCTTTTAGAACAACGTCTGGTAGATTCTCATACACAGGCTTTGAATGAACTTCAATCAAAAGTTCAGGTACAATATCATCAGGTGCTCCTACATTTTGGTTATCTATGTCACTGCGAGTCATGATACTGCTATTGGTACTCTTTATCATGTCTTGGGAACCGCTAGGTACAGCATCGTAGATACTATCGCACGTTAATTCTTCGGCCCCCACAAGGCTATGGGACATAAGAGCCTGACTCGTAGCCTCTGATGCATCACTATCCAAACACAAAACTCCAGAATCGCCGGGCGTATCAGCAAGACTGCTTGTTGTACTAGATATGAGGTGGGAATTGCCTTGTAAACATAAATCGGTTGGTTTTCCGGTATTTTCGTCGACATTCTCCATTTTTGAGCACTGTAACGTATCTTCACCACATCTTAAAGTTGATGCAACAGCAGAGTCGTCTGTTTTATGACGACGTTTGATTTTATCGATCTCCTTGCATTTCATTTCAGAAGCTTTGTCGAAAGGCATCATCAAGTCCGTTATTATAGCTAACCAGTCACAAAACTTGTCGACATAGAGTTATGTTGATACCAGCATTTTTTTCATAATATTCACATTTTATTTTATCACATATTTTTCAATTTAACACAGCAGAAACTTAAGTGATCTACTGGCCATTACAAAGAAGCCATTTGTAATATTTTGACATAAATATAAAAGTAGTTGTTGCCATTTGTTATTAAAAATGAAACAATCCTTTAATTTTTTTAAATAACGTGATGAAAATATAGTTTTATTTAAATTTAATGACCATTACAGTGGAGAGAATATAAATAAATTCTTTAAAAAAATTATGATGTACTATTTTGAAATGAGTGAAGTTATTACAGGGGTGTTTATATATCGATGGCTCCTATGTATAAGGGCCAATGAGCAAAATGTCAATGTTACAGTAGAGGCGTTTTAAGTTTGATTTCAATGTAACTCTTACATGCAACAACTGATATTTTTTTATTTTTTCATAGCAACTATGACATACATGTAGTACGTCCTTTGAGCTTGATAAACTTTTTTTAAGATTTTTTTATTATCTACATTATATAATCCTTTATATGTTACAAAGTGTGTATCTTATGCTTTTTTACTGCAAGAAAAACTAATTCTTTCCACAAGCAAATACACATTTTTAAATGGACGTTGTAGAATACAGTATTATGAAGTGTGTATAGCAAAAAATATGAAAATGTCTAAATTGCTTCATTGGTCCTTATACATACATAGGACCCATCGATATATTTGTGTGCTATTTTTACTAAGAGAAAGTATCTCTTTTGGAGAGAAGTCTTTAAGACATTATTTTTAAAATATGATGAATAATCAAAATAAATCTTTTTGAATAGTGGCTATTCCTTCAAACATTTAAAGGCTACAAAGATTTGATTTGTACTGCATATTTATTGCAATCGGTATATCAGACAACTCATGTAAAGAATAAATATTTATAATTAAATGGAGCAACGTTAAGATAAACATTAAAATATGATTTTTTGCTTTATGAGTGACAAGACGTTCACGGTCATAACATCAAAACATCACCGGCTAGCATAAAGTTATTTCTAAACATGCTACGATTGTCAATATATATCAAACAATTTTTGACATTGACAGTAAGTGAGATTCTATTTTACAAACTCAAAACCGTCGTCTGCCCGCGAACCAAAGCGGAGATTGAGGTTAATTTTGGAATTGTAATATTTACAAATTTCTCATGTAAAACAAATAAAAGTCATCATGAAGAGCCTACGGACTATTATTGTCTCCGTAGTGACATTGCTTTCATTTATTACAAATTGTGAATCTGCCAAAATAAATACACCGAGAGTTTTGCTTCCATGGTTTGAAAATTTATATGTAAACTTTACTTTTGAAATCATCGAAGGTGGTTGTTATTCATGGTGAGTTAAAAAGGCTTATGAACAAAAGTTTATAAGATCCATAAACATTTTCTAACCGGCATATTATTCTTAAAATAAAGGAGTTTGTCTCGCGATGACATCATTGATCTTGTGCCATTGTACGAAGATACATGGGGTCACTGTTCACGAGCTGCACGTGTTTCTGTATCCAAATCATGTATACCGCCGGGTTCAGTAATCATTCTAGCAGAAGAAGTAAATACAGGAGAGGTATGTAAAGTACAAAAAGAGCGGGAATTTTTGAACATTTCGTAACTTAAAATTTTTTGTTTACAGATCCTAAGAGGTGATGTGGATGTTGATATAATAAGATCATTAAAAATTATGAGTACAACTCGTAATTTATATTTGGAAGAAGCTCCAGAAGCTTTTGAAGTTGTGGCATATGATGACAAAGGTAACATGTCAATTTAAATATTTTGCATCCATTATCATACTAATTGCCCTAAATATATATGTAGTGACTTATCACAATTAAAGTGATACATAATGTAATTTAACCTTGAATAAAGTGTTTTAATACTAGATTTTTTTGGTGATAATTTGTATTCTAATTGTAGGAAACAAGTTCTCCTCTCTTGAAGGAATAAGTTTCACTTGGAATACTGAAAATGTGGATAATAATGGAAATCATCCATTGATTATGTGAGTATTATTTTTATTTAGTTAATTAGATTCAAATGTGGTTAGGTAGATAGTAGAGGAGCTCGGATGGTGGAGGTGAGCATTTAAAACATTATATAGAGGCTCTTTTAAATACACCTGGGTCACAAGTCCCAGGCATTGTTGAAGCTCCTCTTCTTAATGGTGAATGGTGAAAAGGTGAAAAAGTACTCAACATTTTTAAAAGAGCTCATACCTTTATACCACTTGGCTGATATTAATGAAAAATGGCAAAAAATCATTTTAATGATGCCTTTCAATTAAAAAAAATGCATCAGCATTGGTTGAGCCATTTAAAACTACACTGCCTTACAGAGACAAAACACACAGACATTTAGTTTAAAACATCTATTAGGAGCTAAAAGCCATAAGATATCTTCATTTATTGCAAAATATTTCTCATTGTTATGTATTAGTTATACTTGGTCAGTATTGTTAATAATAATATGGTTCAAGTACAATTTAGCTTGGCCATAATTAGGTTCTGCCATTCAGTTTCTCATTAGCACAATACATATATTGCAAATCTAATATAGTTTTATTGGATACAATATTTACTAATAATTACAGTCTTACAACTTACAACTTTTAATTACAGTCTCGTCCAATGGAAAGACACTGATTATGAGGCGCCTCAAGGTATAGCTGAATTAGAAGCTCAAGGCCTACAATCATATTCAGTGCTGCTTTATGGTCAGGCTATGGGAGAATCACATGTTACGGTGTGTCTTGATAAAATATGTACCGACTTTTATCTTCATGTGGTTGCAAGTGTTGTTCTGACTCCGGCAGTGGCTTATGTTGCCCCCGGTGATACTTTAAGATATAAGTAAGTGGAATAGCAGTTTTTCAGTCTATATATTATTATTTTGTAATTTTATGGCTTTATTAACTTGTTAACCGGGCGGGACGTATATTATAAATACGTCCTTCAAATAAGTGTTAGTTTTGTTTTTTCCTTGGTGCTAAATATATAAATTAACGAAGACATATATTTCATAGTCTCTCGTTCTCCGGACATGACGTACTGAGTTACTGACACGTCTTTGTGAATGAATTCGCGCCCGTTATAAGCTGCGTAATGAAAAAGGGAATTCCCCTTTTAACAGGTTAATAAATGCTAATTTAAATTAAACTTAAAATGACGCTATGTTTACGAATTTACGTCGCGTATTCAAGCATTCTGTATTTATATCTATGGTTTCGATTTCTTTCAGAACTGTAAGAGTTTATTATTCATTTTATAAATTTTCTAGGGTTGTAAGAGCGCGTGCTGGTCGTCTTACTGTTCAAGATGTCGCCGCTACAATATACAGAATGGAGTTACCACAATCTGATGTTGCCACATTAGAAGATGGCGTAAGCCTTGTCAGAGCTACAGAAGTAGGGACGTCTCACGTTTACCTCAAATCAGAGGCAACAGAGGTGGCCATGGCAACACTCACAGTTGTAGAACCATACTCTATACGCGTCACTTTAAGACCATCTAATATGATAATACGAGGTGATCAATTTACTGTACACTGTGTTGTATTTGATGAGGATGGACACCCATTAACTGCTGGGCCAGAAATATTGATAAGGCTGACAGTGAACGGTGAAGCAGATGTCATTTTGATAAAATCAACGGAAAACGGAACAATAACTGATGCAGTTGCCCAGAATACTGGAGAATTTACCGTTACAGCTAAATTGTTCTCGGTAGCTGGTAAAAGTTTGTTTAAAAATGTATGTATAGTTATTTTAGACTTAAATTTTTACTGATTTGTATTTTTTTACCTTAACATGTTAAATATTGTAGGTTGAAGGCCAAATAACTGCAAAGGCTGTAGACCCATTAGCGATGGTGCCCCCAGAAATGTTTATAGCATGGACTGAATCAAACCTGTGAGATCCTCATATTACTTATATTATACATGTTTCTTTACTTTGTTTGAACTTGTATGCTCAATATAGAAATGAATAGGGTTTGATTAGGCTAATGAATTTATTATAATAGGCATCAACACATCAGGAATTATTATATTGAACAACTAAACAATTTTTAAAACTATTATAATGATAATAATTATGTTCAAATGTATAATACCAACTATTAAGGTCATTGTATATATTTATTTCACACTATTGATAGGAAGTTTCCTGTTATTATATATTATATTTTCTCAGTTACAAATTACTATTCATTTATACAATCAAATATTTTTGTATTTCGAATTTTCAGAGAATTTCCATTAAAACATAGCGGCGGTGGTGATGAACACGTGACTTGGTCAGAAAGACAAGATAGCCCTCTCATGTTGACACCTGCTGGGTTGCTGACTGTACGTGGTGTTGGACAAATAGATGTCAGATTACATCTCACTAAGTATCCGCACATACAAGCGTCGGGGAGGTAATTGTACAATATTTATAGAAGGCTTAATTTCCATTACTGTTATGTCCTTTCCTACATTTAATCAGTAAAAATTTCAATTAAATAGGCTTATGTAATAAATGATTAAATAACAATATGTAAAGCTTTGAACAAATATGCAACAGTCAAAGCGAAATTTAGCATCTTATTATTGGTTTTGTTAATTATTGGTTTTGTTACATATAAGTTATTGGAATTTCTTACAAAAATTAGGGAATTATTGTTTACCCATACAACAATTTTATTCTGTTTTTAATAAAATTCAATAAGATTGGTTAATGGAGTCATCACATTTATTTATAAAATTGCATATAATACAGGAATTTTTAAATATGCATATGGACATTTTAAGTTCATACTCCTTATTATTAATACATGTCGTAAAGAAAACATTTCATGTCTAAAAACGTAAAAATTTCTGTATCGCATTTACTTAAAGTCGCTCGTATTAAAACTATAAAATCCACAGTAGACGATCCCTTCAAAACTACCTTTTCCTTTTGCGATGCTCTCAATCGCAATATGTCAAAGAAAAAACACTATGTATATAATCTGATGGAGCATTTATTAATAACACTGCCATCAGCCTGTATATATTAAATAGTTAATTAAATTAGTTTACATTACTTTATAACAACTATTCCGAAAGAGGGTTGATGTCAGGCAGGCGGCTGGTCGTAAAAACAATTAGCCAAAAGTATTCACAACATGTAAGGCAGACCCTGGATATAGCTGGGAAATTGCCAAGTAGACGAAGATATAACAACTGTTTCATGTTATACAGGGTGTGGTCAGCTATACCCGAGCTCCTACAAGTGTCGAGTTCAGGTACAGCGCGCGTGGCTCGTCCTCACCATTTACACATCAAACTAACTGGAACTCATCCGGCTACTGGGGAGCTATACAACTTTAATACGTAAGATTACCATTGAAATATGAACATACTGTATCATGTATACTCGTAAATATGTCTATAAAACAATTACTATACAACCAGAGCAACATATATTTATATCTTAACTAGCTTTCCGCCCGCAGCTTCGCCCGCGTGTTGTTCGGTTATATCGCGTTTCCAAGAGAACCTTTAAAAAGTTTAAATGAAACTAATATTTTTCGGATTTTACTTCGCGTTTTATTTTTGATTAGAAAACTACATACTCCCGACGTTTCACGGAAAAATATTAGTTTCATTTAAATGAGTACTCGCGAAAATCTTAAACCTTTAAAAAGGGGATAAAAGCTATCCTATGTTCTTTCTCAAGGTCAACTCTATATCTCTACAAAATTTCATTAAAATCAGTTCAGTGGTTTAGGCGTGAAAGCGTAACAGACAGAAAGAGTTACTTTCACATTGATAAAATTAGTAAGGAAAAGCCTAAAGTATTCTAAGCATGTTTTCTTCCAAAACGCTGTACTTTATCAATTTTACTTAAATACTTTTTGAGACCTATACATATATATATATATATATATATATATATATATATATATATATATATATATATATATATATATACAGGGTGTATGAAAAACTGTGTCAACCCTCTTAACTACGTTATCAGTATCGAAAATGTAACACAATAAAACAACTTACATTTACAAACTCTTCAATAAAAATAATAAAATTAAATATTAAATGATTATTATATGTAGAGTAACCAAATGTTTGTATATATATATATATATATATATATATATATATATATATATATATATATATATATATATATATATATATATACAGGGTGACTGGTGAATTACTATCAATATTTAAGGAGCATACTCGGTACATGATTCTCATTCGAATTATGTAAACAAAATAGGCACTTAATTTTTGACAAAATTTCCGTATAAATAAATAAAGTGTTGACACGTTCCAAGTGTTCCTAGTGTGGACGCGTGCGGCGGCGTGCTGATACAACAATACGCCGCCGCGCGCGTATGTGTGAGTGTGTAGTGTAGAGTAATCTGTAGGGTGTTCATACGATGCGTAATTAATTACATAACTTTTGGTTAACTTAACTTAGAAGTTTATTAATATTTATGTTATATTAATTTTTATTTTGTCATATATGATCGTCAAATATCACGTCCTCAAATATCGATAGTAATTCACCAGTCACCCTGTATATATATATACAGGGTGACTGGTGAATTACTATCAATATTTAAGGAGCATACTCAGTACATGATTCTCATTCGAATTATGTAAAAAAAATAGGTACTTAATTTTTGACCAAATTTCCGTATAAATAAATAAAGTGTTGACACGTTCCAAGTGTTCCAAGTTTGTACGCGTCCGGTGGCGTGCTGATACACACCACGCCGCCGACGCGTATGTGTGTGTGTGTGTGTATACCTAATCTGTAGGGTGTTCATACGATGCGTAATTAATTACATAACTTTTGATTAACTTTACTTAGAAGTTTATTAATATTTATGTTATATTAATTTTTATTTTGTCATATATGATCGTCAAATATCACGTCCTCAAATATCGATAGTAATTCACCAGTCACCCTGTATATATATATATATATATATATATATATATATATATATATATATATATATATACTTAGAGCAAAATAGGTCACAAAATTATTTATTGTTTAATACATCTCAATAATGGCACCCAAAAATTATTTGGGAGAAACCATGGAGTCTGGAAATATATACTATTAAAATATTTTACTTAAAGATAAATGTATATGTATAATATGTGGTGTTTATAGTGATGTAATGTAATTGTTGTTAATATTTCAGCTGCAACTGTGCATCATTTGCTGTGTCTTTAGTTGAGGGTCCGGAGCCACAGAATGTTACGGCTGCTCCTTGGATAAAACCAAAAGGTTGTTTATATTTGTTATTAATTTACATATATTATGTTATTAATTTATATTATATATATTATGTTTATGGATAATTTAGATTTTGCAAAGTTCTCCTGACAAAACTATCACTTGATAAAATATACATTTGTATAAAAATAAATAAAATAACCAATTTTTGCGTATAACAAAAAATTAGTTTATTAAACATTGAGTTTAATCTTTGATATTTTTGATATATATAATTAATTTTAATACATGTATCTTTCAGACGGTGCCTGTTGTGTGGTAGAGTGTACGTTTGTATCTCGCGGCCTGTCTACGTTGCGTGTGTCTCGTGGTAGGGCTGCGGACACGGCCCGGGTGGCGGTCAGGGCTGCCCCCAGCCTGCTGTGGCCTAACGCCGCCGCTCTGTTACCCGGCGCTTCAATACCTGTGAGTCATACAATATATAGCCAATATAATACACAGATTATCCTATACCTAAATGTATAATAATGTACATACAGTATTACATAACACAGCATTAAGGATACTAAACTTAATTACAGCACTCAGATATAATATATAGAATACAAATATAATGCAATACATGATATCAATTGATTTAAGTATCTATGCATCACCAAATGATGTTTTTTAAAAATAAACAACATAGTCATTAAGTTTAATAGGTATAATAAATCATTAAATTTAAAAAAAAATGAGACATTGAAGGAAATAGTATGACATGTTACTAGTTACTACCATTGAATTGAACAGACTTTTAAATACATGACTGTCTGTCTCACTTATAATACAGACATATATGGATATGTATGCACATTAATGTTAATTTCTATATACCAGCCTCTCACAGAAGATCGGCATGAAGTAGCCTTTTCCTGTTCCCACCATTTCCTTATACTATTCCCTGTTCTCCCCCTACCCCCTTTAACCCCTCCTTTTTCTTCAACAACTAAGGTCGGCAACATAAAATATATAGCGGATGTCCATAGGCGATGGTGACTACTGCCTATTAAGTAGGCCGGTCTCGTTGGCCATATTTCTCAAAAAAAAAAAACATATTAAATATCTTTTTGTCCATACCAGGTGATCGGTGAAGGTGAATCCCTTATACCTCAGTCGAATCAGCCGAGGGTCGCTGAACTCAACGCTCGTGATGGGGCTCCGCCACACAATTATCCTGACGCCCAACTATTCACCCTTAAATGTCGTAGGGTAAGTTTGTATTGTACTTTAATACTAAAACGGATAGAAATCGGACTCAATTCATGATTAAGTAATAATATTTTTATGAATCGGAAATGTTTTATCATTGTTACATTAGCTTAACTTTCTAAATACACTATATTTAAATTAAATGTGTGTACATAATGTAATTTTTCAATTAAACACCGATCATGAGTTATTTTATGTACAATAGCGAGACGTTACAATATTATAAATGTGTTACGTGTATTCAAGTCTGTTGGAAAGATATTAAAGTTTGCTCTCTCTTCTAAGAATGCTATTGTATGTATTAGTATAATCTTAATATGTATTCAATTATTCTTGCTAGAAAGGTGAGGCGTTGGTGCAATTATCGTCGTTGCATGAGGAACGCGAGTCAGTGTCTCTTGAGACGTGGTGCGCGTCGCACGTCACACGAGCTCGTCTAGATGCTCCCGACACGCACGGAAATTGTTCAGGATCGAGGTATATCCAGCATTATCACTATAAGTTTTTACTGTTTAACTAAATACAGAGCGTTTACGGTTTTTCATTTATAAATCATGAAATTTAATTTTTTTTTTTTCACTTAAATTTATTAATGACAGTCTGAATTTAATGTTTATGTATCAGGGGTTCCAGAACTTATACTGTCCACTTTGAGAATATTATTCTTTAACACCCCCATTTTTACATCTACTAAAAAACTATTATAATTTAAAATTAAGTAATTATTGAGCTATATTAGCGCCTTCTATTTTTCTTTGTCTCGTACTGCCTTTAGGTTTGCATTGGGTTAGCGTTATCGCATTTTCTGAAAGTCTGTTATACAGAATGTTCAGTATCTGATAATAATATACATTTCATTGAATTTCCAGAGTGTGGTTGCGTCCCGGACAAGAAGTGCCTATAAAGGTGACTCTATTTGACACTATAGGAAGAGAATTGTTAGACGAAGATGGACCGATTATGAACTGGGATGTACAACCTCATCATATAGGAATAGGTTTCAAAACCACAGATCGATTGTTTGTAGAGACAAACAGTAAATATGCTCCGGTACCAGTGCCTGATAAATATTATCAAGTAAGATACATTTATCATATTCTTAACTAAATAATTAAGTTATATGATGTTTATTACAATAATAGAGAACTTTAACATATGTTTACATCACCATATACAGAGCGTTGTCAGTTTTGCAAAGTGCAAACCTAGGCAGTGTGACATCTTGTGATTAGATTACTCGTATTAATTAATATATTTTTCGACATAACCATGATTTTATTTTTTTTTTTTCCAGCTAGTAGTGGCAACGGAACAAGCTATAGGGTGGAGCGGTTCGATAAAAGCTGCAATTCCTGATACATCAGCAACAATACAAGCCAAAGTTGTGGCTCCGTTGAAATGTGACCCTATGAAGGTAGGATTTACATATACATACTGTAAAGTGTAATAGAAATAAGTAATGCCTAATGAGACCTAAGATTTTCGCGAGTCTTGATTGAAATAAAACTAATTATTTTTTAATAATGCTCCCGAATCTCAGACGTTCTAATATCGTCTGCTCGATTTTGTTAAAAATAATTATAAACTCGTAGTAAATTTGAAAAATATTACTTTTATTTCAATTAAGTAATGCATATATCATAATTTTTTTTTGTTTATAGGTTCACATCGCATGGGAAGGGGAAACGGTGCCTAACATATCAGCCGTGACCGGCGGCAGCGGAAAATATATAGTCGAAACACCAAAAGGTTGATTACAAGTATTTTAATATTAAAATTTAATTATATTTAGTTGGTAGAGCCTGTAGTCAAGTTACTACATCTCAAACATGGGCTGGCTCGATCGGGGAAGTACCACTCCCTCACAGAAGATCGGCGTGAAGTAGCCTTTAATGGCTGCGTTTCGTCCGATGAGTGAGAGAGCCGGTTGCCTTTTCCCTATTCCCACTCTTTCCTGCTATTTCCCTATTCCCATCCCTTTCTATTCCTCAACAATCAAGGTTGGCAACGCATCTGCAATGTTTGTTGCGGATGTCCATGTGCGAAGGTAACTACTGCCCATCAAGGAGGCCGTTTGCTCGTTTGCCACCTTGACATAAAAAAAAAAATAAGTTTTAACGCAATGAGGCTTCTAGATATAGTTTTTACTGTATTCTTTTGTTCTAGGAGTCACAGCGTCTGTTGATGAAGGCAGATTATCAGCAGTGTTACCAGCACCGGGTACTTACGACCTGATTGTGGCAGACTTATGTGTTAGCGGTGAGAAGAACATTGTTGAGGTATGAATAAGAATTCAAATAGTTTAATTTAGTAGGTTCAACTAAGAAACCTTATAATATAGCATTCAAATCGCTTTATAATAAAGAATAATGACAAGTGTTAACTCAATATTGTTCGCATGTTACAAAACTAATTATAGGCATGTTGAGATATATTTGAAAAAAATTACAAATATATTTGTTAATGTTCTTAGTTAAATAAATATAGTAGAAAAAAGACCGTATAATTGCCGGCTCGTGACTTTGAAAGCGGATAAGTTTGAGCATGTACATTTAGAGCGACAAAAAGTGCTAACTTTTGATTCTTATCAGTAGCAAAAAGTCGTGACAGTAATAAAAACGATGGGTCCAATTTATGTGCTCGCAAGTTTACCGTTTAAGCTCCTTAATACATAAAAATCGTATTCTGTTTATTTATAGTAGCTTGCCAACTTACACGATATATCATAAGCCCAATATATTGATATTCGGATTGCTTCATAATAAAAGTTTATTTATAGAAATATGAATAGTAACTGACAATATACTTAAACTAATTTTATATTATTATTTTATACATTTTTAAACATGACGTTCATAATGGATCACACATTAAGATATCTTACATATAAAGACCAGTTAGGTGTGATATAATATAATTTCTTGTGTATAATTCCAGGTCATTATAGAAGAGGTATTGAGTGTGGAGGTATCAACCGCGAGGGCTGTTTGTGTCGATCATTGTGTTCCCATCAGAGCGTTGGTGAAAGGCGTCTCTCATAGATATCTGGCTACTAGCAGGGAACCAGATTGGAAGACAGAGGGAGACGTTATAGTTAGAAAGGGACAGCTGTGTGGCCTCAGGGAAGGGGTTGGAAGAGTTAGAGCTTCTTTGGGAGGAGTATGGAGTCAGTCTGTTGAGGTGACTACAAAATATTGGCCAATATTTCTAACACTATCTTGTTACATATAATATCTTATTATAGACATAATATTCGCCTATACATATTTAATATATAAACCTGTAAATATAATAATATTATAAAAATAATGTTTTGAAAATTTTCTAACAACTTGTAAGCCGGCCATAAGGCCGGCTTACAAGTTGTATATAAAGTATAAACTCAATAACAAATGTAAATGTTAAAATATAAATTCACTAGACAATTATTGAAATGTACCTTCATGTTCACAAATGTTTTTGTTTAGCAATTTTTTTTTTGTAATACCGTCTATTTGTTTGCGCACTCTGTATTCTAATTATTGATTTGTTAAGTTTACTTACTTCTCCTCAAAGTGATTATAATCTTAAGAAATAAAGTGATTTTAAACCGTTAAATATCAGATTCCTATTACACTATAGTAGATTGGAAATTTTATAAATTTCTTATATCACACTTTGGCCTATATAAGATTTATATTTATCTCAAATATAAATAATATGCATATTCATAATTAATGTTTTTAATCCTACATATGGAGTTTCGTATCCGTTATAATGACTATATGCTTATTTTCAAGGTGTGGGTGTTTCCGTCGCTGGCGATTGTTCCTGAGAGGTCGAGGGTCGCGGTGGGAGGTCGTGTTCACCTCAGCCACGCGGGGGGTCCTCCGCGACACCTGGGCCTCGCTGTTGTATACAGGGGGTGGAGAAAATGCACAGGTTATATACCATATATATATCTTTATACAGGGTGACTGGTGAATTACTATCAATATTTAAGGAGAATACTCGGTACATGATTCTCATTCGAATTATGTAAAAAAAATAGGTACTTAATTTTTGACCAAATTTCCGTATAAATAAATAAAGTGTTGACACGTTCCAAGTGTTCCAAGCGTGGACGCGTGCGGCGGCGTAGTGTTGTATCAGCACGCGTGTGTGAGTGTGTGTGTATACCTATTCTGTAGGGTGTTCACACGATGCGTAATTAATTACATAACTTTTGGTTAACTTTACTTGGAAGTTTATTAATATTTATGTTATATTAATTTTTATTTTGTCATATATGATCGTCAAATATCACGTCCTCAAATATTGATAGTAATTCACCAGTCACCCTGTATATATAATTCTTCTGTGAGTGTGTATGTCACTGAACTTCTCTCAAACGATTGGACCGATGTTGATGAAATTTTTTGTGTGTGTTCAAGGGGATCTGGGAATGGTTTAGATTCACAATTTTATCCACTGGACAATGTTTTTTAATTAATTTTTAATTTATTAGTAGTTGTTGATACAAACTTTTTTTTGACATTAGATTTGACAACTAACTAATATGTCAATAATTCTGTCGCACTTCAAAACACGGAGATTTATGGCTTTAATAGGTAAACTCCAAAAATATAAATAAAAAAACGTAACAGATATTTCTTGATTATAGGGCGATACGAAGTTCGTCGGGTCTTCTAGTATATTATTTATACATTACTAGCTGACTCGGCATACGTTATTTTGTAATATAAAAAAATGTGGTGACAAATAAGTAAAAAATTCAGGGTTGTATGTATTAAATGCTACATTATGAAATAATAACAACGAAAAATTTCATCCAAAAATTAAAAAAAAATTGCGTTGGACAACCCTTATCATTTAGGGGTATGAAAAATAGATAGTAGCCGATTCTCAGACCTACTGAATACGCGTATAAAATTTGGTAAAAATCGGTAAAGACGTTTGGGAGGAGTCCGGTATTTGTACATGGAAATTTTATATCTTAGATGCATATCTTATTCGAAGTTTATGCATAAATTAATTTACAATATCTATATTAAATATTAAAAATCGTTTTTATTTGAATAACATTATCCTTTCAGCTTAATGTCTTGTTTTGTAAACAGTTTATAAGGGATTTTAAACTACATGACAGTGACAGAGATATGGCAGATTATTAATGATTTATCAAACACATTATTTTCTTTTCTTCTTAGGTTTCTTCGTCTGGTGTTATACAAGGCTTGTATCCTGGAAGTACCCGAGTGAAGCTCGTGGCGGTTGATGCTGCTAACGTTGAACTGGCGAGTGCTGAAGCCGAAATTGAGGTGACCATACAGATAAAATATACCTTACACATAGCATTATATATATTAATGTAATTATTAATATCCAAACTTGTATTATTTTAAAAACAGCTGTTAACAATTTCAAGAATAACTAAATAATGAAAGCATGTCAAATAGACAAGTAAAATTATGAAAATTATAATACATCATGTTATGCTTAACAATATATAACATTGGAAAATAATGAATTTTGCTATCATTTTTTTCCATGTATATATAACGCATTGCAAATCTATGTACGTGTCTCGAACACGCGAATAACTTTTCCTTTCTTATATTATCTCAGTGTGCAGTTTTCTTCTTCTTCTTTATTTAGTGGTGTTTCCGTATAGATTTCGCCAATGTCGTGTACCCATATTACACTGAACTATGTAAAGAGGGATTTATGAGTGAATGTGTGCAGTTTTTTTCTAAACAATGTCCTTTTCATGATAACAGACAACTTAATATTATTATTAGGTCGTACCTATAACGACACTCCGAGTGCGAGCAGCAACACAAACATTATTAGTGGGGTCGCCAGGACCCGTGTGGATTGAAGCCGCGGGGTTAACAGCGACCGCGCTGTCCTCGCTACAACCGCTACCTAGAGTTACCTGGGCCTTACGGGACCCCACGATGGCCAGAATATACACAACGCATATTGACGGTAAGTGGTTTGTTTGGTCCATTTCTACGCATCAAGTCAGTTACCGAGGGGCTGATCTGAATCCTCGGCGTTCAAGTAACTGCAAACCCTCTTTCTTTCTGTATGTGTTCGAAACCATCCGAAATTTGGAAAAAAATAAATAAAATTAGTGCACGGTTAATGGAAATTGTCTTTGAAATTATTAATTTACCAGGTTAATGGAATTGTTTTTGATATAATTAATTGTGATGATTAATGGCATTATTTTTGATACAATTAATTTTAGAATCAATTTAGAAGATTAATGGAATTAATTGTCTTTGAAAGAATAAATTTAGAAGGTTATTGGAATGTTTTTGACAGAATTAATTTAAAAGGTTAATGGAATGTTTTTTGAAAGAAATAATTTAGAAGGTTAATGGAATGTTTTTGACAGAATTAGTTTAGAAGGTTAATGGAATGTTTTTTGAAAGAAAAAATGTAGAAGGTTGGAATGGAATTGTTTTTGAAAGAAATTTTTTTGAAGATTAATAGAATTGTTTTTTAAAGGACGGTATGATATATACAACGTGTAACATAATTAACGCACACTCTGAAAGTAGTTTGATCAGAATCGGATACTGGATCGATTTTGATAGTTTTTTATGTAGGTAATTTTTTTTCTCAAATTTAGATAGAACTAAGTAAATTATAGTCACCCTACACACAGTTATCTAAACACTTCATAGAAACGAAAATTAATGGAAACGAAAATGGATCGTAAGTCAGGGTATTAAGATTTTTAAAATGAAATATTTAATTAGTAATCATCAGTCAATTAAAGAAAACTGATACTTATTTCAAGGCTAAAATAGTATTTAATAATAACTACGCACGCAACACCATAGCGACAACCGGCACACAGCAAGGTCACTACAGTGCATAAAAGAAAGCCGCGTAATACAAAAATTATTACTTTCTCCTTCTTTCTTCAGCTTAATAACATTACAATAGAGCTAGACGGCAGGCATAATTCCGGGAATCAGAGTAATAATAACTAAACATCGAAGTCAACAAAATGTGTTTTGGGTTAGTTACGCCGCGTCCACCTTATCGAAAAGAGGTCAAGTGTAAAGTGCAAATAAAATCTTAGTCGCGCATTTCGCTGTGTCGTTTCGGTACACTAACATTCAATACATCAAGTACCTACGCACGTGTCCATTGACCTCCTAGATCAGCTGATTTGACGCGACTCGACTTTTTTTTGTGGGGGCGAATTAAATCGCTAGTTTATAACACAGAGATAACAAGTAAAAGTAAAAAATAAGATAATAACCGCTTTTGTAAAAGTGAAAAGTGACATTGCAGTATTATCTAAAATAAAACCACAATTGCGAAATCAGTAATTATAAAATATTGGCTTCACATTAAAAAGAAAATTCAATGTCAACAATCTAAAGCTTGAAAAGTGTGATGGAAAGAAAAATCATAATGTATGTAGTTATTTCGTGTACTTATTATTACCTACTTCTTATTATTGTCGGACGGCACTCGGAGAGAGGGGCGCGGGCGCGGCGAGTACAGAGTGTCGCTGAATAGCGCACCATATTATTTGCACGAAATTGGGATAACTAATTTCACAAATAAAAAATTCAAACGCACATATAAATAATATTTGGTGTATGCATTGCGTTTATATCATTATATACGCATTGGGGTATTTGAGGGTGTGCGTTAATTACGTTACACGTTGTATAGGTATGAATCTGTAACCTTCCAAATATCGCATTCCAATAAAAGTTTCCAATTTCACTCACGTCGATGAATTCTGCATCCATAGTTATCTATTTGAATTTCAATTCAATTATTAGCTGAAATATTTTTGTGTTAAAAACTTAATTGTATTATTTTAACTGGAACACGCCTTACTTAATTATTTTGAATATTCCAGATCGCTTGGAGAGGTCGATTGTTGAAGGTCTATCAGTACGAGTGGTGCCTTTAAAACCTGGTGTCATTACACTTGATGTGAGAGTAAGGAACATGGGACAAGTTAGTATAAGTTTATAGTTATTTAGTATATACATACTAGCTGCGCCCCGCGGTGTTACCCGCGGATTTCCGGAATGTAAAGTAGCCTATGTGTTATTCCTGGGCGTCAGCTCAGTGATGTCTAAATACTCTAAGTATATATGACTCATAAGCTAATATATGTGTATAATATATATAATCATTAAAAATTTATATGTAATAAAATTTCTAAACCAAACCACTCTCAGTTACTCCTCGGATCTCATATCTGCCAGTGTAATACTCATCACATTCATACAAGACGGATAGATAAAACTTGTTGAAAATATTCTGACACTAGCTTTCCGCCCGCAGCTTCGCCCGCGTGGAGTTCGGTTATGTCGCGTTTCCAAGAGAACCTTTCAAGAGTCTGCGATAAAAACTATCCTATGTTCTTTCTCTAGGTCTAGGTACTCTATCTCTGTACCAAATTTCATTAAAATCAGTGCAGTGGTTTAGGCATGAAAGCGTAACAGGCAGACACACAGACAGAGTTACTTTGCATTTATAATATTAGTAGGGATCATATGAATTTATTGATAAGCGGGTATTTTAATATAACAAACGGTCACTTTAATTTTACATATTAATATATTATATATTTTTACATGTTACAGGTTGCTGAAACCCGTTCCTGGGACAGTACTATCGAGATTTTGGGTATATCAGATATACGTACCTCTATAGAAGGCTTTAGAGATATAAACTCGGGTGAAATATTATCCCTGGCTGTGGGTTCTACAATTCGTTTGAAATCACTTCCTAAAGGAAAATGGTCTTCCTTTCAAGATGGTATGTGTATATATTAATACATATATTTTATTATTGGTATTAAATATTAATTACTGAAATACTAATAATTTTTCATATAAAAAAGTTTCTGTTCTAAAACCGAAATTGATATATTCTTTCTTCAGAGATGTTAGAAATAATCCATAGAAATAATGTCTTCATATAATTTTAATATCATTTCTTTGTATTAGTCCTCTTTTATAATTGTTTTGTTTTAATTTCTGATCTTAAAGAACATTCTGTATTAAAGGCTGTTTTTGGGGATATTTGTTTTATATTTTCATTTTTCTATCAGACATAACATTTTTTTATTATTAGGTGTACAACTTTGCTTCCGCCGTTTTTTTCCGAAATTCGAGGCTTTATTGTAAAAAACTGGTTATACATTTATGATTCAAAGTATTGTCCATCGCTGGCCACTACTTTCTTCTATCTTTCGGGCAGCATACGAATCCCGCGTTGTAAAAACTGGTCATCTTTTGAAGCGATCCACAAATAGATCCAATTTTTAACTTCTTCATAAGACCGGAAGTGCTGGTCAGCCAGGCCGTGTGCCATTGATCGAAACTAGTGATAGTCCGAGGGAGCAACGTCTGGAGAATACAGCGGGTGGGGTAGGACTTCCCATTTCAACGTTTCCAAGTATGTCTTGACCACTTTCGCAACATGGGGTCGAGCATTGTCGTGCTGTAAAATCACTTTATCATGTATCTCGTTGTATTGCGGCCGTTTGTCTTTCAATGCTCGGCTCAAACGCATTAATTGCGTTCGATAACTATCGCCTGTGATTGTTTCAGTCGGTTTTAACAACTCATAATGCACTACGCCAAGCTGGTCCTACCAAATATAGAGCATACCTTGGAACCGTGAATATTCGGTTTGGCCGTCGACGTGGAAGCATGGCCGGGATATCCCCATAATTTTTTGCGCTTGGGATTATCGCAATGAACCCATTTTTCGTCCCCAGTCACAATGCGATGTAGAAATCCTTTCCGTCTTTGCCTTGCAAGCAGCTATTCACAAGCAAACAAACGCCGTTCAACATCTCTCGGCTTCAACTCGTACGGCACCCAATTTCCTTGTTTCTGAATCATTCCCATGACTTTCAGGCGTTTTGAAATGGCTTGTTGCATCACTCCCAATGATCCTGCCAATTCTTGTTGCGTTTGACACGAGTCTTGATCAAGTAATGCCTCCAATTCTGCATCTTCATAAACCTTCTCTCTTCCACCGCCATGCCGGTCTTCGACGTCAAAATTACCATTCTTGAAGCGTTGAAACCACTCTCGGCACGTTCTATTACTAATAGCAGCCTCACCATAGGTATTTGAGAGCATTCGATGAGCCACAGCCGCAGATTTCTTCATATTAAAGCAGATAATTAAAACCTCCCGCAAATGACGAGAATTTGGCTCGTAAGCTGACATGTTTAATCGAGAATAACTTTACGATGCAGACACAAATCGACTAATATTTCGATGGCGTTATGTTTACAAATGCCTAAGCTTATTGTATGATATCTACGATCTATTTATTTCGACTACCACTTACCGCTACAACCATCTATTGCAAAACGGCGGAAGCAAACTTGTACACCTATGTAATTTTACTAAGTAATTTGTGGTAACATGTATATTTGAAAGTACATGCAAGTTAATTGTGTTTGTTGATTGTCGTAAAGTTTTTCATATTTTTATTTTCCAAAGTTGTGGAATTCTGATTAATTTATTATAAAGAAATAAAATCTTATAAGTCAAATTTTTTTTATACAACATATATGAATATGACATATTTAATATATACTAGCTTTCCGCCCGCAGCTTCGTCCGCGTGGAGTTCGGTTATATCGCCTTTCCAAGAGAACCTTTCAAAAGTCTGGGATAAAAACTATCCTACGTTCTTTCTCAAGGTCAACTCCATCTCTGTACCAAATTTCATTAAAATCAGTTCAGTGGTTTAGGCGTGAAAGCGTAACAGATAGACAGACAGACAGACAGAGTTACTTTCGCATTTATAATATTAGTCGGGATATGTGTTAAATTTAATCAACACATTAAGGTGTAAGAGTTCTGAATATTATCAAAATTATTGTTTATTTTGTAGGTTGTTTTGAGATTTTCGATAATGGTGATGTGAGGGCATTGAGACCGGGCCACGGAGTCATCATCACAACACACAAGGATGAGAGGAATAATATAGAAAGACAAGCGGTTAGTTTATTAACGTGTTTATATTTATTAAATATTTTATATAATTATGCATAAATAACTATTCAATATATTTAACTTATATACTATATAAATATAGCATATACAACATAGTCATATATAAAAAAACAGATTAATGTTAGAAATTTATTTTTATGAATGTCATAAAGAAATAAACATATCTAATGCGACAAAGATTTCATAATTTTGTCTTAATGTACAGAAATAGGGAAATTTGAAAGTTGAAGTGTGTTTTAAGAATACAAGTTTATTACTTTAAGTAAGCAAATGATCATGATTTAGTTATACAAAACAAATTGATTGGTAATTGTTACATCTTGATATATTTTAAGACTCATTTAATAAACCGAGTTATAAAATTACCTGACAAAAATTATTACTATCATTATAACTGGTAATATCATCAAATTAAAAACAAGTACGAGATGGATTTTACCATAACGATCTTGCGATTCGATGAATCCCTTTGGGATTATTTTATTTGTTTATGAAAAAATAAGACAGCCAACCCAAAAGATGTCCAAAATTTGCCAAACAAGTAAAATATTTTTTTACAGTTAGTCCAATAATAATGTGTATTATTAATTTACAGGTGATACATGTCGAAGTCTCTGTCCCCTACTACTGTACAGTGGAGCCGGCGGAGTCTTCGGAGTCTTGGGAGTCTTTGAGGGTTGTGACGAGGAGTGTCCTCGGTAGGGAGCTGTTGTCACCGCAGGCCAACGTCACCGTGATGACGTCACTTCCGGCGAGGATACGTAGGAACTTGAACAGGTATAGGAAGCTTATATTTTTCTGATTTCACTAATATTATATTATATATATCGGATTTATTACAAATTTGTTGTTTTTAAAGAGAGAGACGCCAGCCTCGCTGACGTCACTAAATGTCACTTCTTCTTCTGGAACGTCCCATAATATTTTAAAACGAAACTTCAATTGTTCTTAATGCTCCTGTATCTCTCGAAGGTTCTTCATAATCACATATTTTAATGATACACACTCACTGAACACTGAACTCTGCCGTCTTGCGTCCAGATGTCATATTTATACCAAGATTTAAACATAGGTCTATTCTCCTTTTAAACAACCTTTGCTTTCGTTTTAATTTTAACAATAATCATAAATACTAATGAGGTTTAATAAGAATTGATGACGGCCTCAAATTATTTTCATGTCGCATCCGTTATTAAAGCTGGTAGCGCCGATATATATATTTCGGACTTAATTTTTGTAAAAAACAAAAAACGTGCGAAAATCTTAGAACTCACTGCAACAGATAGTTGCTTAGACGGCGAGAATCCTTAACTCGCAAGGACAATTGGTTTTAATATAATAATAATAAAGGATTGTGAATTAAAATATGTTAATAATTTCATGACGTAGCTTATATGAAATTTTTATTGGGCTTTTGTAAATATGACGATCCCAGGACAATGTAAGTCGTCTATAGATTTGATCTCCTTGTGTGTCAGAATATGCAAAATGAAAGCATCATTAATATGTTAGGTTCAGACAGGGTTATTTCTATAATTTGTTACTTTCTTCTTCCTTTGAAGAGACTCTTGACTCTTGACAAACGACAGGCGAATGGATGAACAAGTTGCTTATTTTATCCCTTTTATTAAAAAAATGATAGTAAATTGACTTGAATAATTATTTCCAACGATACATATTTGTTATAGTGCTCGCGGTAGCGAGATTTCTCTAAGCGGTCTAGACTCGAATGGAGCTTTTATGACCTTCCAAAGTTCCTTGGCCGGTGTTACTGTCTCAGACGAAGTCTTCATACCTGGTTCTGACGCGTACGCAAATAGGATAGTGGGTAAGTAGATCGAAAGTAATCGAACATATTATGTATGTTACATTATTTGTCTGGTACTGAAAACTACCATCCCAACTGAAGAGAAATATTTAAAAAATCCAGATATCGTCGGGGATAGTGCAAATCCGCGTAACTACCATTGGATAATTCTGCGTATATACTTTGGTAGCATATTATCAAAAGACATTTTAAGCTGAAATATCTTCTAAATTAACGGCATTAAAAGTAATTTTTTCACAATTACTAATAAATTAAAAACTAAATAATTACTAATTGTGAAAAAATTGCCTTAAAAATCGTTAATATAGAAAACATTTATTCTTAAACTTTCTTCTGATAATCTGCTTCTAATGTAAATACTACGATACCCGACGATATATATTATTAGGCAGCCAATATTACAATTTCTGTTCTAACTAGTGATAAGAGGTTTTGGTAGTATTAAAAAATGAGTTTAAAAAAATTGTTTCAGCGACGGGAGGATTCGCGGTGTGTGTAGAAGGTTCTGGATGGACGGTCCCAGCGGGAATACAGACGGCGACTGGCGCGGGGCTCACACTGGCGGTATTAATGACAGATGCTCCTGCCATGCACGTATTAAGACTCGATAGACCGCCATCTACCGTCAACATTCTGCAACTACCGATATCTAAGGTCACTACGATAATTGGCTGCAAAGAAACATGCTATGTTGTTTGAATTATATCCGTTTGAAATAACACATCCGTGATTCTACTAATATTATAATTGCGAAAGTTTGTGAGTGTGTGTGTATGTTTGTTAATTCTTCACGCTCAAACGGTTGAACCGATTTTGATAAAATTTTGTATACAGGAAGCTGACGTCCAGGAATAACACATAGGCTATTTTACATCCCGGATATCCGCGGGTAAAACCGCGGGGTGCAGCTAGTATAAAATAATATTGAAATATAAAATATTTTGACTCGAATTCTCAATATTTAGAATTTTGTAATATAATTAAATATCCCAGCTTCGCTATTACGAAGTTTGCAATCGATGCAAATATTTTGGTTGCTTCATACCTGAAGCATTTGTGATAGATGATAAATTTTTCAAATCGCTAATATAAGCCCTTATTTTTGTCTTATTTTTTTGTTTTAAAATTTATATCAAGTTATACAATAATATTAATATATTATCAGATGGAATTCCTTCCCGGTGAATGGCCGGCGTCCCTCGTGCCTCTCTCCATACAAGCGGAGGGACTCACATCGGGTCCTCTGCTATGTACTGAGGAACAGAAGTATGCTTTAGCCGGAGTAGATGTTGATGTACCATTTACCTGTCGAACGACCGCACCATTTGTAGCGCAAGCTGTTCTGGATATAACCAACGGTAAAATATATACCAAATTGTAGTCAAATATCTCTTTAAATATCACAATACTGATATTTGATAGTATATTGGATATAGGAATAAATTAAACTGGGGTAACAAGGATTATATATTATTTTTTTGGTGATATCGTGATTGTACCGGTTTCATAAGTAACGAACCAATCGAGTTTCAACAATTCATCGTATATAATTTGAGGTTTATTGTCTAGCAAAAATCCCTACTAATATTATAAATGCGAAAGTAACTCTGTCTGTCTGTCTGTTACGCATTCACGCCTAAACCACTGAACTGATTTTAATGAAATTTAGTACAGACATCTCTGTACCAAATTTCATTAAACTCTCCATCGAGTAGACCTTGAGAAAGAACATAGGATAGTTTTTATCCCAGACTTTTGAAAGGTTCTCTTAGAAACGCGATATAACCGAACTCCACGCGGGCGAAAAGCTAGTATTATAAAGATTGTATTTTTCAGGCCGTCACGGATGTACCATTCTCCCTGGAAATGAAATAAATCAGGCAGTCGATGTGGAACTGTGTGCCGAGTGGGGAGTTTTGAGCACTTGTACTAAAGTACAGTTGTTGCCACCGATACAATTGTCGCAGACACAGATATCACTGCTCAATCCCCCCTCTATGTTTATTATTAATGGACACCCAAACGCTCTGAAGGCGGTCAAAATTACACCGTCGCCCGGTCTGAAAGTTGAAACTAATTCCAAGGAAGGTCAGATAAGTGTCACAGTTAAGTCAGAAACTACGACATGCGGTGTTGGATGGGTAAACGTTGTATCGAAACTAACCTCTCAAGAAATCAGGGTCGAGGTTGAAAGGGAATGCGAAATAGCTTGCGGGACGCTGCTGGGCGCTTTATTTTCTATAATGAAACCTTATCTATCAACATTAGTGACGGTTGCATTTATAGCCGGTGGATATATTTATGGTAAGTGGTTGCCGAATTTTAATGATTTTTTTTATTGTTATATATGTAATTATTATAACTTTTGTTTGCAGTACAAAGTCATCAGCAGCAAAAAGGTCACATACAGTTGCCGAAGCCACCGCAGAGTACCCTTCAGACTCCGCTGCCAGAGCCTCGCAGTCGGACGTGGTCGCGGAGTCCCTACGCCTCAAACCCTTCAGCACCCGTTTATGGTGACACGAGCATGTTGCCAGATGCGAGCTTCTTACCGACATCCACTAGAATACATTCAAGACTTCTCTAGTGTCTTATACGAGTTTAAATGTGTAACTGTGAAAATAAAATGACTTGAAATGTGAATTTGTTAGGCATGTAAGGAATAATTCATCGGATAACTAAACTGTCGCTTAAAATGTGCCTGGAACGAGTGATTATAATGATAATTTTTTATATCTAAACTCCGAAGTGACGCAAGTATTATATCTAATTGTACAGAAATGTAAAAATATTAAGTATGCTGAATTTGACTAGTCAAAATAAATGTGACGTATTATCAAGTTTCGTTAAGAAAATATTCTTAATAATTTCACATAATAATTGAAGGATTTGATGCTATCGTATTCTTCTTTACACTTGCTGAACCTATTTCAATCTACATGGAAATATTATTAACAATACATGCATAGTCCTTCATTTCATTTCAAAAGACTAAAACCCAGAATTAAAAATATATATTTTTTAATATCTATAGTCTTAATCTTTGTTAGGTTTATTATCCGTCGTAATAAGACGTAATAAGAAATATTATTACAAACATAATCCAGAATTCGTATACTTCGACATTAATCTACTAAGTACTTTGTACTAAGTAAATGTAAAATATGTGCAGCCATATTTCTAGTTGTGAGTTGTGGCAAATACATATTACTTATGTAAGGGATACGGTACGATAATGACCATACGGTTTTAATTGACTATTTCGATCTTGAAATAATCAAGTAAATAGAACAACAATAACCAACTTAGAACATTTTTGTGAGTGACTTAAAGTTTTTAGGTTTTAATATAAAAAGTTGTGATGTTAATAAAATATATTTTTCATAATATCTTTTATTTTACTAATACAAGCTTAGGGTATTTTCTTTAATAAATTAAGTTGACATTTTCTAACATAATACAATTATTAGGCAGATTAAAAATAAAATATGAAATAAATAATAATATTACAATGTTTCATTAAGCATTTCCAAAAGATGTTCTTGAGGAGATTTCGGAACATTTGGTGAATATGTTAAATCACTGTTCCTATGTTTTATACATGCTGTTATATTTTCATATTCAACGGATTTAGTAATTGTGATTATTTTTCGTTTCTGATCTTCGTTTTGAAAATCAATCGGCAGTTTTAATTCTAACACTTTATCTTCATTACATCCTTTGTCTATCGATGGTAATAAGCAATTAATTTCATTTGTTTCGATACAACGATTTTCAATGTCATGGTACAGGTTGTTTTTATTGCTATAATCGTATTTATAGACATTTTCTCCTAGATTCTTTAAAATTTTTGAATTTATTGAACTAGGTAATGAGAATGTTCCGTCTTTTTTCTGTAAACCTAATCTAATAAGGACTGAAATCTTTGTGTGGTATTCTGAGAACCAAAGTATTAAAGTAGTGCACAAACAGTGAAAGTCGTTATCAGAAAATTTTTCTATTAAAATCTCAAATTTGTTGAGTGTATTTTCAAAAATAAATTTCGAAAAATACTCCGGCATCAAAGACATCACATTCCTTAGGTGTCGTTTGCTAATGTCAAAAACATTTTGAGTCGTTGCTACCGAGAGCTGCCATTTGAATAACATTGTCATTAGATCCCATAATTTGTTCTTGGAGTAATCGTCGAGTTTCATAATAGATGTCTCAGATATATCCTGAAGTAACTGTTTTATTACTTTGTGCGTTGCTACCGGCTGTGGCAAAAATAACTCATCCAGCAACTTTGGGTGTAACAATACGGTAACGAGATCGGTTAGCACTAAAAGAAACAAAACAACGTAGGTCAGTTTGTGAAATAAAATATTTTGTGTATGTCATCATATTAATATATGTTTTTTACCTCTTTCAGATTTCTCCAAAGGTACACTTTGAGTTTTTAAACGTTGGTCAATAACATAAATCATTTCACAACCTAAATTAATTACTATAAAAGGAGTCGCAAAGTGAGACATTTTTTATTATTAGGCACAAAAATAGCACTTTACCATGAATATGATTATCGATTCTTGTTATGAAGGGGTGGTAGAAAAACTCACAAAGCAAGGTGTAATTCAAGATAGGTCAAAGGAATTACTAAAATTAGAAACAAATGATGAAAGAACACTTTTTGTGTACAGTATTTTGGAAGATTTAAATAGTTTCCCTAACGTCTTAAAACTAAGCAAATCAAATGACATATCAACCCATCATCGTTGTCTTGGCAACATATATTACCAACGAAATGATTTCTATAAGGCTTTTCAGTATTACAATGTGTCATTGACAAATGCTACATATAACTCTGAAAACTATTGTACTGCAATATCTAACAGATCCATTGTCTTGTATAAGTTAAAAAAATATAAAGAAAGCTTAAAAGATGTAGAGTATGTATTGTCATTGGACTGTCCTGAAAAATTATTGGAAAAGTTAAACACTAGAAAGAACATGTGCATTAAGGCCCTAGCTGCAGTACCAAAATACCCCAACAAGATGGAAAATGTAGAAAGTTTAATTACAATGAAAGGGCCTTGTGACCCTACATATGTTTGTGCCAGTTCTAAGTTAGAGGTAGTCTACTCAGATGAAATGGGTCGACATGTATGTGCAAAGGAAGATATAAATGTTGGAGAAGTGTTAGTCATTGAGGATCCTTACTTCACATTGCTATTAAAGTCTCAGTACTTGTTATGTTGCAGTTACTGTTTATTGTCTAATTTAAATCTTTTGCCTTGCAATAACTGTTGCTTTGCAATGTACTGTAGTGAGGAATGTAGAGTTAAAGCACTCAAAGAATACCACTCAGTAGAATGTGATCTAATGGCAACACTATTTAAAATGGATTTTACTCAGCTAGAATTAAGTGCACTCAGGACAGTTATTAAAGCCCGTTATGATCACGCTGATTGGAAGAGTTTGTTTGAAACAATTAAAGAGGCTGATGCTAATATGAACACAAAGTACCAGGGTCAAGTTAAGGTTGGGGATAAATGGTTATATGATTCAAAATACTACACATCAATACACACTCTGGCTACTAATGTAGAAAAGCGGTCAATTTCTGATATATTTCAAAAGGCAGTTTCGGCTGCTGTGTTTTTGAGGTTTCTCAAATTGAATACAACTTTTCTCCAGAGTGACAACATTGAAGAGCAGGATAAAATTTTTAAATGTGTGGCGGGTTTGCTATTGTTACACCTAATGACAGTTCCAACAAACATGCATGGTATATCAACCAATGTTATGAATGAAAATGGCATCCTTTTAAGTGATATTAGTGTAGCCAGTGGTGCATATGCATTCTTGAGTTTAATTAATCATTCATGTGCTCCCAACGTTGTTAGATTTAACAAAGAGGGTGAGGGTATTATGACCCTTTTTGCTTTGCGACCTATCAAGAAGGGAATGCAAATATTTGATAATTATGGGTAAGTGGTATAATATTTACAGAAACACATTAATAAATTGGTTCATTTTGTTGCCATGATATAGTTTTGTTGTAATTTTGGTGGACTTTATAGGTTCAGTTGAACTTAAAAGTGTTTGAAAAATATTGTCATTTAGTATAATATGGTTATTGCATTTTTATACATAATTGTAGAATAACATATTAATGCTACTAGTTAATTGTTAGTAAGAACATAAATGTGTAAATTACTAAATAGTACACTGAACATGCATGAATTGCTTTGTGATGTTGAAAGAAATCAAAAAAATTCTTGAGCAATTTTAACATCTTATGTTCATTATGATTTTCAAGTTATTGTTTGTCATTTTAACGTTAGTAACGAAGACCAAACTTCATCAATTATGGATATCTAAATGAAATTTATTAAATCTTAAGGTATTACACATTCATAATTCTATCATGTTTTCAGGTCACATTATGATATGGAAGATTATAATAGTCGGCAAAGTTCTTTGAAGTTCCAATATAAATTTACTTGTGTCTGTGAGGCATGCGTCGACAAATGGCCTATGTATGTGCAATTGAATATGATGTCATCCAAGAACCTGCCAGTGAAAATTTGCCAAAGGAAAAGAAATGTTTTGAACAAGCATGTGATACGCCAATTACAAAGCGGCGATGTCGGCACTGCTCTGACGATTTATAAGGACCTATGTATTTTATGCGAGCAATTGGACAAATATGCACCGTGTGCTGAGCTCTGCGAATGTCAAGAAGCATTGAAACAGTGTTTTATGATCTTCGAAGGCTTCCGTACATTTGGCAGCGATGATATCATTGAATGGAAAGAAATCACTTCGAAGACATTCAATGGTGCCGAAATCGGATCGCTCAACAAGTTTTTCTATCCAGAAGAAGAATATTAAAAATTATACCCACAGATTATGTTACTATATAGTATATTTACGCCACTTTTCTTATCACCGCTTTTCATCCTTAGATCAAAGTTATCTATTCAATAGTTAGTTTTGACAGTTATTTACGAGCGGATAACGCTATAACTGTTGGTATTAAGTAGAAAATGTAAACTTATAAACATGTAATAATTTTAACAGTGTATGTACAATTCATTCGTTAACTTTAACATGGTCAATTTCAACGAATTGATTTAGTGATTTATGAATCTAAGGCGCTAAGTTGTCGTTAATATAATTAACGATTTTCTTAATTAATCTCATATTATTGTGAAGAACTGATATTAGTTCTAAAGCTCCTTTAAATTGCCTTTTATTAGTATAAATGAAGAAATATATTATAATTATTAGTAGATATTTTTATTGTTGTTATAATTACTACAAAAATATATTAATCGTTTTATATTGTATGATTAGAATACCATAACAATTATTTTAAGATTTGAATCTAGAATTATAATCGTATTTTTGTAATGCAAATGATTATTGTTACACAACTCCACGCGGGCGAAAAGCTAGTATTATAAAGATTGTATTTTTCAGGCCGTCACGGATGTACCATTCTCCCTGGAAATGAAATAAATCAGGCAGTCGATGTGGAACTGTGTGCCGAGTGGGGAGTTTTGAGCACTTGTACTAAAGTACAGTTGTTGCCACCGATACAATTGTCGCAGACACAGATATCACTGCTCAATCCCCCCTCTATGTTTATTATTAATGGACACCCAAACGCTCTGAAGGCGGTCAAAATTACACCGTCGCCCGGTCTGAAAGTTGAAACTAATTCCAAGGAAGGTCAGATAAGTGTCACAGTTAAGTCAGAAACTACGACATGCGGTGTTGGATGGGTAAACGTTGTATCGAAACTAACCTCTCAAGAAATCAGGGTCGAGGTTGAAAGGGAATGCGAAATAGCTTGCGGGACGCTGCTGGGCGCTTTATTTTCTATAATGAAACCTTATCTATCAACATTAGTGACGGTTGCATTTATAGCCGGTGGATATATTTATGGTAAGTGGTTGCCGAATTTTAATGATTTTTTTTATTGTTATATATGTAATTATTATAACTTTTGTTTGCAGTACAAAGTCATCAGCAGCAAAAAGGTCACATACAGTTGCCGAACCGCAGCCACCGCTGCCAGAGCCTCGTACCGCGGAGTCCCTACGAAACCCTCACGCTGGTGACACGAGCATGTTGCCAGATCGCATCCACTAGAATACATTCAAGACTTCTCTAGTGTCTTACGTGGTCGCGGAAGTCCCGGATAACTAAACTGCCTTAAAACCCGAGTGATTCAGTGACGCAAGTATTATATCTAATTGTACAGAAATGTAAAAATTTAAGTATGCTGAATTTGACTAGTCAAAATAAATGTGACATTATCAAGTTTCGTTAAGAAAATATTCTTAATAATTTCACATAATATGAAGGATTTGCTATCGTAGATGCGAGCTTCTTACCGACATCCACTAGAATACATTCAAGACTTCTCTAGTGTCTTATATGAGTTTAAATGTGTAACTGTGAAAATAAAATGACTTGAAATGTGAATTGTTAGGCATGTAAGGAATAATTCATCGGATAACTAAACTGTCGCTTAAAATGTGCCTGGAACGAGTGATTATAATGATAATTTTTTATATCTAAACTCCGAAGTGACGCAAGTATTATATCTAATTGTACAGAAATGTAAAAATATTAAGTATGCTGAATTTGACTAGTCAAAATAAATGTGACGTATTATCAAGTTTCGTTAAGAAAATATTCTTAATAATTTCACATAATAATTGAAGGATTTGATGCTATCGTATTCTTCTTACACTTGCTGAACCTATTTCAATCTACATGGAAATATTATTAACAATACATGCATAGTCCTTCATTTCATTTCAAAAGACTAAAACCCAGAATTAAAAATATATATTTTTTAATATCTATAGTCTTAATCTTTGTTAGGTTTATTATCCGTCGTAATAAGACGTAATAAGAAATATTATTACAAACATAATCCAGAATTCGTATACTTCGACATTAATCTACTAAGTACTTTGTACTAAGTAAATGTAAAATATGTGCAGCCATATTTCTAGTTGTGAGTTGTGGCAAATACATATTACTTATGTAAGGGATACGGTACGATAATGACCATACGGTTTTAATTGACTATTTCGATCTTGAAATAATCAAGTAAATAGAACAACAATAACCAACTTAGAACATTTTTGTGAGTGACTTAAAGTTTTTAGGTTTTAATATAAAAAGTTGTGATGTTAATAAAATATATTTTTCATAATATCTTTTATTTTACTAATACAAGCTTAGGGTATTTTCTTTAATAAATTAAGTTGACATTTTCTAACATAATACAATTATTAGGCAGATTAAAAATAAAATATGAAATAAATAATAATATTACAATGTTTCATTAAGCATTTCCAAAAGATGTTCTTGAGGAGATTTCGGAACATTTGGTGAATATGTTAAATCACTGTTCCTATGTTTTATACATGCTGTTATATTTTCATATTCAACGGATTTAGTAATTGTGATTATTTTTCGTTTCTGATCTTCGTTTTGAAAATCAATCGGCAGTTTTAATTCTAACACTTTATCTTCATTACATCCTTTGTCTATCGATGGTAATAAGCAATTAATTTCATTTGTTTCGATACAACGATTTTCAATGTCATGGTACAGGTTGTTTTTATTGCTATAATCGTATTTATAGACATTTTCTCCTAGATTCTTTAAAATTTTTGAATTTATTGAACTAGGTAATGAGAATGTTCCGTCTTTTTTCTGTAAACCTAATCTAATAAGGACTGAAATCTTTGTGTGGTATTCTGAGAACCAAAGTATTAAAGTAGTGCACAAACAGTGAAAGTCGTTATCAGAAAATTTTTCTATTAAAATCTCAAATTTGTTGAGTGTATTTTCAAAAATAAATTTCGAAAAATACTCCGGCATCAAAGACATCACATTCCTTAGGTGTCGTTTGCTAATGTCAAAAACATTTTGAGTCGTTGCTACCGAGAGCTGCCATTTGAATAACATTGTCATTAGATCCCATAATTTGTTCTTGGAGTAATCGTCGAGTTTCATAATAGATGTCTCAGATATATCCTGAAGTAACTGTTTTATTACTTTGTGCGTTGCTACCGGCTGTGGCAAAAATAACTCATCCAGCAACTTTGGGTGTAACAATACGGTAACGAGATCGGTTAGCACTAAAAGAAACAAAACAACGTAGGTCAGTTTGTGAAATAAAATATTTTGTGTATGTCATCATATTAATATATGTTTTTACCTCTTTCAGATTTCTCCAAAGGTACACTTTGAGTTTTTAAACGTTGGTCAATAACATAAATCATTTCACAACCTAAATTAATTACTATAAAAGGAGTCGCAAAGTGAGACATTTTTTATTATTAGGCACAAAAATAGCACTTTACCATGAATATGATTATCGATTCTTGTTATGAAGGGGTGGTAGAAAAACTCACAAAGCAAGGTGTAATTCAAGATAGGTCAAAGGAATTACTAAAATTAGAAACAAATGATGAAAGAACACTTTTTGTGTACAGTATTTTGGAAGATTTAAATAGTTTCCCTAACGTCTTAAAACTAAGCAAATCAAATGACATATCAACCCATCATCGTTGTCTTGGCAACATATATTACCAACGAAATGATTTCTATAAGGCTTTTCAGTATTACAATGTGTCATTGACAAATGCTACATATAACTCTGAAAACTATTGTACTGCAATATCTAACAGATCCATTGTCTTGTATAAGTTAAAAAAATATAAAGAAAGCTTAAAAGATGTAGAGTATGTATTGTCATTGGACTGTCCTGAAAAATTATTGGAAAAGTTAAACACTAGAAAGAACATGTGCATTAAGGCCCTAGCTGCAGTACCAAAATACCCCAACAAGATGGAAAATGTAGAAAGTTTAATTACAATGAAAGGGCCTTGTGACCCTACATATGTTTGTGCCAGTTCTAAGTTAGAGGTAGTCTACTCAGATGAAATGGGTCGACATGTATGTGCAAAGGAAGACATAAATGTTGGAGAAGTGTTAGTCATTGAGGATCCTTACTTCACATTGCTATTAAAGTCTCAGTACTTGTTATGTTGCAGTTACTGTTTATTGTCTAATTTAAATCTTTTGCCTTGCAATAACTGTTGCTTTGCAATGTACTGTAGTGAGGAATGTAGAGTTAAAGCACTCAAAGAATACCACTCAGTAGAATGTGATCTAATGGCAACACTATTTAAAATGGATTTTACTAAGCTAGAATTAAGTGCACTCAGGACAGTTATTAAAGCCCGTTATGATCACGCTGATTGGAAGAGTTTGTTTGAAACAATTAAAGAGGCTGATGCTAATATGAACACAAAGTACCAGGGTCAAGTTAAGGTTGGGGATAAATGGTTATATGATTCAAAATACTACACATCAATACACACTCTGGCTACTAATGTAGAAAAGCGGTCAATTTCTGATATATTTCAAAAGGCAGTTTCGGCTGCTGTGTTTTTTTGAGGTTTCTCAAATTGAATACAACTTTTCTCCAGAGTGACAACATTGAAGAGCAGGATAAAATTTTTAAATGTGTGGCGGGTTTGCTATTGTTACACCTAATGACAGTTCCAACAAACATGCATGGTATATCAACCAATGTTATGAATGAAAATGGCATCCTTTTAAGTGATATTAGTGTAGCCAGTGGTGCATATGCATTCTTGAGTTTAATTAATCATTCATGTGCTCCCAACGTTGTTAGATTTAACAAAGAGGGTGAGGGTAATATGACCCTTTTTGCTTTGCGACCTATCAAGAAGGGAATGCAAATATTTGATAATTATGGGTAAGTGGTATAATATTTACAGAAACACATTAATAAATTGGTTCATTTTGTTGCCATGATATAGTTTTGTTGTAATTTTGGTGGACTTTATAGGTTCAGTTGAACTTAAAAGTGTTTGAAAAATATTGTCATTTAGTATAATATGGTTATTGCATTTTTATACATAATTGTAGAATAACATATTAATACTACTAGTTAATGGTTAGTAAGAACATAAATGTGTAAATTACTAAATAGTACACTGAACATGCATGAATTGCTTTGTGATGTTGAAAGAAATCAAAAAAATTGTTGAGCAATTTTAACATCTTATGTTCATTATGATTTTCATGTTATTGTTTGTCATTTTAACGTTAGTAACGAAGACCAAAATTCATCAATTATGGATATCTAAATGAAATTTATTAAATCTTAAGGTATTACACATTCATAATTCTATCATGTTTTCAGGTCACATCATGCTATGGAAGATTATAGTAGTCGGCAAAGTTCTTTGAAGTTCCAATATAAATTTACTTGTGTCTGTGAGGCATGCGTCGACAAATGGCCTATGTATGTGCAATTGAATATGATGTCATCCAAGAACCTGCCAGTGAAAATTTGCCAAAGGAAAAGCAATGTTTTGAACCAGCATGTGATACGCCAATTACAAAGCGGCGATGTCTGCACTGCTCTGATGATTTATAAGGACCTATGTATTTTATGCGAGCAATTGGACAAATATGCACCGTGTGCTGAGCTCTGCGAATGTCAAGAAGCATTGAAACAGTGTTTTATGATCTTCGAAGGCTTCCGTACATTCGGCAGCGATGATATCATTGAATGGAAAGAAATCACTTCGAAGACATTCAATGGTGCCGAAATCGGATCGCTCAACAAGTTTTTCTATCCAGAAGAAGAATATTAAAAATTATACCCACAGATTATGTTACTATATAGTATATTTACGCCACTTTTCTTATCACCGCTTTTCATCCTTAGATCAAAGTTATCTATTCAATAGTTAGTTTTGACAGTTATTTACGAGCGGATAACGCTATAACTGTTGGTATTAAGTAGAAAATATAAACTTATAAACATGTAATAATTTTAAAAGTGTGTGTACAATTCATTCGTTAACTTTAACATGGTCAATTTCAACGAATTGATTTAGTGATTTATGAATCTAAGGCGCTAAGTTGTCGTTAATATAATTAACGATTTTCTTAATTAATCTCATATTATTGTGAAGAACTGATATTAGTTCTAAAGCTCCTATAAATTGCCTTTTATTAGTATAAATGAAGAAATATATTATAATTATTAGTAGATATTTTTATTGTTGTTATAATTACTACAAAAATATATTAATCGTTTTATATTGTATGATTAGAATACCATAACAATTATTTTAAGATTTGAATCTAGAATTATAATCGTATTTTTGTAATGCAAATGATTTTGTATTTGTTTTTTATTAAAGTTTATATATTGATAATTTGTTTATAATTTTATACAATTTATACCAAGTATGATGTATGTCATGTAGTATGGAAGATTTTCTGATGATGCCTACAGCCTTAAGTTAGGTTTAATACTTGTCAAAGGCCATATTTTACTAGCAGATCAGCTATCCAATCCTTATCATTTAAGTTGGCCAGTGATTATTCTTCTATTTGGTTTCACTGTTTCTTTGAAAATAAGGCCCTGTTATTCATGTAGGAGTAGAAATTTCAGGTTAGAAATAAAGGAACCGGCATAACAGTTCATTTAGTTAGTATAATGAAAGAAGGGTTAAAAAAACTATCTCTTGGTTGTTATAATAATTATAAAATAGAATGATAATTTTTAAAACAAATAATTTTGTAGAACCAAACAGAATAACAAAAATATTCTACATATATATTGTTTTACATCAATAAATATTAAATAATTATAATCTATTTATCACAAGGATAGAATTTGGAGGTGAAACATTCTACATATTTGCATTTTCTTTATAAATGAACTGAATATTTTATCAATTCTAAAGAATATTCCTGATGAAAGAAAGTAATAAATTTCATAAATCTTAATTACTTTTATAACATATTTTTTCGTATTCTTAAATTGATAGAAGAGGATGGTTTTGGTAGGTCTAAGTGACTTCGATTCCCGGATAAATGCTCTTTTTATCATTGAACAAATAAAGTATCATTGTTGGTAATACCCTTTCTTCAAAATTCATTCATTTGTACCATCATGCTTAGTAAGTATTTAGTAATGACATCTATTTTTTTATATATTAATGAGGATGTTGTAATGACAATTATGAATAAGATGTATGCTTTATTTGTCATGAATAACATTTACGTATTATAAACTTCTCTTAGAAACTTATTAAATAAAATAAAATATGTATTAACTAATAATATATCTCTTTGTCTAGCCTAAACATATAACAATGGCAGATAATAACAAAAAATAAGGAATTTAAATTAAGTAAATCTAGCGTCTTTATTGGAAGTGAGACTGCCTGTTGAAGGACAATTATTTTAATAACAGCTTGCATTCTACACCTCGGGATGTAGGTGGCGCTATTTGTGAACATATAGAAATTAGCGATTAGTGACGATATTGAGCTACACTATCTTCTCCCAATGAGTGATAAATTCATAATTAATAATAAGAAAAACATCGCTGTATGTGTTTTATTATGATGACCAGTTGACGGCAATTGAGCCGTTTTATCTTTATCTTCATTACTAAATGGAATGCTATTTAATTTGTTATCGTTAAGAATAACTATTCTGTTGCTAACTACTGCATTTATTGGACTGTATTTACTTAAATAGTATAACGCACTTTCGACTTCATTATATGGCATGACATCTCTTGGTAAATTTTCAAACATTGTGTAATTGTCCCCTCCATCTGCTAAAAATGTTGAAGTAATTATTTTATACTCATAGTCTTCTTTTATAATTTGAGGTTCTTTGCAATTAGAGCATATGGCTCTAGCACGTATTACTCTTGAACCCACTTTTTTTGCTAAGTCATAAGTTACGTCCATTCCTGACATTTGTAAAAATTGTCCAGGTGCATCGAGAAGACGCCAAGACGCTACAGAATGCTCCAGCGCTTCCTTAAGTATTGTACCATTCATAGTTATAATACATAGCGAATCACTAAATGGTATAACGGTAATTAAATCACCTTTTGTAATATTGAATGGTTTAACATTATTGCTTATAGACGTTCGTATTCTGCCCCCAGGAATCACTGCTATATTAACGTCAGAATGCACAGTATCATGTTGTTTTGCGTAGTATACAACAGCGTCAGTGAAAAAATTTCCTAAATTACATTCCTTGATACGGCACGAAACTCCATCAAGAAACACCATCGAAGAACCAACAACCTCACTATTGATTTCATTAAATTCTAGTTTATAACGGTTAACCATCTCTAGGATAATAGGGTCTTGTTTGAAATTATTATTTAAAAGGATTGGGTTTCCATCAAAATGAATTATTTCTCCTTGAGCATTAAATACTAAATGCAGTCTTCCTAGATATTTTGTAAAAGCATATGCTTGCACTACTAATACCGTTCGTCCAGATTTTTGACGTACCAAAGTGGGATAGGGACCCTCTGAATATTCTGGAATTTCGCTCGTATTTGTATTTGTTAAAAATGTATTAGAATGCCCTCCTATAACCAGATCTAGATCTTCTACCTGTTTTGCTATTTCCAAATCCTTGACGAATCCGGAGTGTCCAAGAGCAATTATTATTTGCACACCCAGTCTCCTTAATCTTAATGATTCTTTTCTTATAGCATAGATCTCTTCCTCGTATTTAACATCATTTTTGGGAGCTAGGAAGCTTGTATCTGGCGTTAAATAGCCGATAATTCCGATTTCAACACCATTTTTAGTTAGGACAACAGATTTGTATAAATTGGATTGTTCTTTGAGTATAGGTACATCGTCCAGAATAAGATTAGCAGCTAAAACCGGACAGGAGAGGTTTGCGATGAAAGGCACGACGCCGTCGACTTCTTCATCAAACTCGTGATTTCCAAGAGACTGTAAAAATGTAATGACTGTTAATAATTACTTATTATAAAAACATTTGCACGAATTAAAGTGTTATTTTAACATTGATAAGGATAAATAGAATTTATTAAAATTTCAGTAGCGTCCGATATGTTTCAGTGATTAGTATTTCAACTGAAGTTGGTCTATTTATAGGTCATACAAAAAGATGTTATCTAAATCATGTCGAAATCGATTAACAATGAACATTAATAACTCATTTTTGTGATCTCAGAGGATTGTTATGTAAATTATTTGATCTTTGTTTATATATATATATTACGAATCAGGTGTTAGCTCGTGTAATACATATACCTAAACAGAATATCATTTTCCAGTTAAAATTTGTCAGTTTATATATTTCGGAAGCGAGCTATAAAATGTATTGCATATTTTTAAACAGGTAACTAACAAGTTTTTAAATTTAGTCTTAAATTCAGTAAACATTTAGTACCGTATTTATAATGAAGTACTTCATACTCTGTACTGGTACTGCCAGTGTTTATATTTTTGTGTTTTGCAATCAATGTTTTGAAATTTATTAACGTCGTTAATGAAAATTGACGATAATTTTATTTAAGTTGGTTAAGAACTTTAAAAATAGCTTTGTAAAAGGAAAAAATAAGCTGAAGGACTAAATAAAGAATATTCTCAAAAAAGTTTATTTCCTTCTTACACATAAATCACATTTTAAATACACACATTTAAGTATTTAGTCGCAATATTCAATAACTAGTAATACTTCAGTTCAATTTAAAGTCTACTTTGTACATTTCAGATCAATATTCTAGGAGTTTACATATTTCAGTTAAAAACTATTTATACTAAACAAAAATGCTATGGACAGGAACAATATCGCTTGGTTTAATAATATTCTAAAAGCACCATTCGCCGCCTTACGAAGTAATTTCACTCTACCTTCTACTGCTGGTAAAATTGGACTGTGATTTTGTATATAGTACAACGTAGATGTTAGCTCGCTGTAGTTTAACGCACGCTTTGGCAATCCTTCTAACATATTATAGCCATCGCCACCATTTGAAAGAAAGTTAGGCATGATAACATTGTACATTTCAGTATCAACCACACTGCTATATATTGGAATGCTACAATTCCAACATCTTACATTAGCCTTTGCAACTCTTGAACCAGATGGTTTACTCATATCGTATTCAACTTGGATACCAGAAACTTGTAGAAATTCTCCAGGATAATCTAACTGAGTAAGGTTTTCTACAGAATGTTCTAACATTTGCAATAATATTTTGCCGCTCATGGTGACCACGACAAGTATTCCTTCAAATGGCAAAACTGCAATAAGATCACCTTTAGTCACCGGAGCTGGGAAATCAGCATGGTCTATTGAAGATCGTATACCACCTCCTTGAATAATAGCAATTGGGACATCTGACCACTGCTTTCTACCTTCGTAATCTGACACATAACGATAGATCATAGCGTCAGCTATCAAGTTACCCATATTACATTCCTTATGTTGACAACTTAGACCATCTAACAGTACCGAAGTATTGCCTATGATTTCTTCAGTGTAATTTAAGATTTTATCTTTGTACTTATCGACGATGCTTAGCACTTCGGGATCTTGAGGAATTGTGTTATCTAGAAGTATCGGCCTACCGTCTGCGCTAAGTAACTCTCCTTTTGAATTAAATACCATATGTAATTTACCAAGATATTTTGTATACGCATATGCTTGAACTACAGGAACCAGTTTTCCTGACGCTTGTACGACATACGTTGGGTAAGGTCCTAGCGCCTTTTCAGAGTCTGGCACTGTGCCATTCCATAGGAAGGTATTTGTATGACCGCCAATAATCAAATCCAAACCGTCCACTTTCTTTGCTATCTCTAAATCTTTCAAATATCCAGAATGTCCAAGGCCAATAATTATATTTATCCCTTCTTTTTTCAATTTCTGCACTTCCTCTTGGAGTGCTTCGACTTCTTCGATATACTCGACATCATTCTTCACAGCCAGCACTTTTGTGTCTGGTGTTAAATATCCTATCAGTCCTATAGAAACACCTGATTTATTTAAAACAATAGATTTTCTCAAATTAGATTCCTTTTCTAATTCAGGAACTTTATTTAAAATTAAATTTGCCGCTAAGACGGGACATGTTAGGTTTTCAATGAAAGGCGTTAGTCCGCTTACACCTTCGTCAAGCTCGTGGTTTCCCAGAGACTGAAACAATTTAATAACAAATTGAAAATTAATATTATACCAATTAATTGTAATATAATTTTAAAACGTATTTTGTTCGTATTATTTTTTTACTTCAATATTATATAGTGAGTAAGTATTTTATTTCAAAAAGTGAATTTTATAAAATTACGGTTTATTAAATTAAATCATAATTTGTACACGCTGCTTATGAAATGGAATAAGGTTTAATGAATTTATGCACTACTGCTTTTTAATTCCGAAAAAACATATATTTTACTATAGTGTGTGGTAATGTGATAATAATTTATTAATTTCTATAATAAATTTTGAAATTTATAATAGGTATTTGTATCTTTTATGCGTTTGAGGAAAGTTAGTAAAGATATTTATTGTTCTTTCCTTTACGTTTGTATGTATGCATCTAGATATATGAGAATCCCTCAAACAGTATCATCGTCATGACAAATTGATAACTGATACATTTGTTAAGACGGAACGAGTTCAAATAGAGGCATAAAAACATTATAATTTATTGGCAGTAGTCATTTCTGGGAAAATTAAATATATTTTTAATATTTAAATATATTTAACTTGTAAAAGATTGAAATAACGTTTCTTAATATGTATAACCAAAAGTCCATGCATTGAATCCATGCCATTTTCCATGCGGAAAAAAATTATTTGTAAGGTCTTGTTAATAGGTTGAGGATTAGGTATATAGTATATTATTTGAGAAACATATATATGTATAAAATAATATGTGAAGAACAATATATACTTATTTTGAATAATTCCAAGCGTTTTAAATTAATAGCTTTAAACCGAAATACAAAATGCAATAAAGTCAGTGCAGAAACAAGCGAATGAAGAATGAAAAATAAAATAATTACTTTTCACTTCAACCAATTTTCTACATTTACTTTAAATAACAATTATTAAGTAAATGTTATTTTTGTAATGAATACTTTGCATTCTTACCTTTTAAAATATCAATAAGGTGTGACATTTTATAATACAGTAGAAGTAATAACTAATCAGATGTTAAGAAAAACTTTTAAATATAATTTTATACATCAGATAGTATATCATGAAATAAATTAATATATTTTGACAAGTGATACATTCTCTTCATTTATGGCTTAAATATTTTCTGTATTAAATCCATATATTATAAATAAAACTAAGATTAAACATATGTACAATTTTTATAGGAACTTCACTTAGTTTTTAAAACCTCTCATTCTTTCACTGTAAAGAGAACCTTAAAAATACGTAACACATACTTAATATGCATAAAGAGTGTCTAAATTTCAAAATTAAGATACTCCATATTTATACATCTAAATTAACAACCATTTAATACTGATATTTGATCAAACCAAATTACGTATATAATATTTGAGGTGCTACTATGGCTTTGTTTTAATATTTTACGTATTATTATAAATAAATTGCACTGAAAAAAGATATTATTAACATAATTTGTGCGATTTTTGCTGTCATTGCGTTGTTGACATTCGCCATGATTATTCGATTTTCAATAGAGGGATGCACAGGGCTCATTTTCTTTAAATACTCAAAAGTACATTGAAATTCATTATATGGTAGAGGAGTTGATGGCAAATCTTTAAATACTGTATATCCATCTCCACCCATTGAAAGAAAGCTATTCACAAGAATGTTGTAATTTTCTTTCAAACTTATATTAGAGTAAATGGGAATATCGCATTTTCCACATAGAATTTCGATATGTTTAACTCTCTTTCCGGGAGGCTTAGACAAGTCGTAAACCACTCTCATACCGGACATTTGTAATAACCTTGCCGATCCACGACTTGGTCCAAAACTGGCAACAGCATGCTCAAGCATTTTTACAATATTAGATCCATTTATAGAAATCTTTACAATACTACTGTCATATGGCATGACAGCGTATAGATCGCCTACAGATATATTAAAACGCTGACCATCATGAATGATTGAGGATCGAATACCTCCGCCTTGTAAAATTGCTATTGGGGAATCGGTCCATCCACTTCCAGTATATTCTCTTGCGTATTTATTAACTATTGCGTCAGTTATCAAATTTCCCATATTACATTCAGATATCCGACATGATAGACCATCTAAATATACTGATGAGTTACCGGCAATTGTTTCTGATATCACGTTCACTTCGTCCTGATACCTTTTTACAATAGCTAAAACGTCGGGGTCCTGTTGTATTGAATTGTTTAAAAGGATAGGATTTCCAGTTACATTGACTATTTCGCCGTCAGAGTTGAACGTTAGGAGTAACTTTCCCAAATATTTCGTATAGGCATAAGCCTGCATGACCGGAACTAGTTTGCCTGATGCTTGTTTAACGTACATGGGATAAGGACCCTCTGGAATTTCCATGTCTGAAGTTAAGCCGTTCCATAAAAATGTATTAGTATGACCTCCAATAACAAGGTCTATACCGTCTACTGCATACGCTATTTCTTTATCTTTGGTGAAACCTGAATGTCCTAAAGCTATCAATATATTTACACCCTGAGTTTTCAAATTCTTAACCTCGCGCCTGATTGCTGCAACTTCATCAATATATTCCACGTCGTTCTTTATTGCTAAAAATTTCGTATCAGGAGTTAGGTATCCAATTACACCGACTTTAACGTTACTTATATTAAAAATAACTGATGTCAACAAATTTTCTTCCTTTTTCAATTCTGGAACTTTATCAAGTATAATGTTTGCAGCTAAAACTGGACACGTTAAGTTCGTTATAAATGGAGTTAATCCGGAGATACCATTGTCGAATTCATGATTGCCCAAAGACTGAAACAAATTGAGATTATAATTTTAACTAACAAAATTAAAAAATCCATAAAAATACATAGATTTAACAACTATGTTATTTTATAATATGTTTTTAAAGAAATAATATTTATCAAGAGGAAAAATAACTTTAAAATTTTATAAAAAATATATACATATAAATTCTGGAAATCAAATATATAGTATGAAATATTAGAAAGTATATTTATTATATTTTATTTAAGAATTATTCATTTAATTAAAATGTTGTGATGTTGAAGTGTGAATGGTGAATGGTGAAGTGGCTAGCTAAGAAGCAGATACACGGATTCATGTATAGTGTTATTTGAGTACATTAATTTTAATAAAATAATTTAAGAAATGAAGAGAAAGATTAATTACATATTATTAAATACAATTACTTATGTGCTTTATGGAAAGTTGCACTACCAAGAAGCTGAACTAGAACCAATTAAATAACGAAAATATGACACTTACCATAAATTTTAGTAGTGAATTGGAAAACAAAATGGCACATATTATAAGTAACCATTTTTTTTAACACAAAACTACACAAATAGGTACCTACATATAAGCACATATAACAAATGATTTGACAATTGTGATTTCGTGAATGAGTAAAGGTTTTGAGTAAATAAAACAGGATTAATTTATTTAAATATAAATTTTAACGAACAACAGCAATTGTAAATATTGTATATATTAATATTGCTAAAGATATTTTAGTTGAGGCAGCAGAATCGGGTTCGTTGTGTTCTGGCACGTTTAATAAGATTATTCTATCAGCTATTTCGGGATACACCGGACTTCTCATTTGAATAAATTCTGTTAAAGTTGCTACAGCGTCGTAGTTTAAACTTTCTTTTGTTAAGTTACCTAACATAGAATATCCATTATTGCCACTTGCTAGTATCGAGGGAATTATAATTTTATATAACCTCTCTTCTTGTAACTCAATGAATTCTGGGATATCACAATCCCCACAGCGAATTACTGCACTTATCACTCTAGAACCAGGATCTTTAGAAATATCGTAGATTACTCTTATTCCAGAAAATTGGAGGAATTGTTCTGAAGTATTGTTAAGTGTATAATTGGCTACTGATTCTTCAAGCATTTGCTTAAGCAGGGTTCCAGACATTGTAATCGTCACTAAGTTACTTGGTCCTGGTAGAAAGTTTATTAAATCGGATCTTCTAATTGGAAAAGGCCTAATTAATGGTGATAAAGTGCCCGATAAAGATCCTCCATTTATAATAGCAATAGGGGCATCAGTCCAGTGTTCACCTTCATATCTGGTAGCGTAATAAAACATCATTGAATCCGTTATTAAGTTACCCAGATTGCATTCTTCTTTCTTACAATTACTACCATCTATAACAACGACCGTATCACCAATGATTGTCGCCAATGATGTCATTTGTTCCTCAGTATATTTTTTGATAATATCAGACATATCAACACTTTGTTGTATGGTTTTATCTAGCAATATTGGGTTACTTTGTAACAATTTAAGATTTCCATCGGAATCGAATACAGCGTGTACTTTACCTAGATATTTATCATATGTGAAGGACTGTAAAATTGGTAATTTCTTACCACTTTTCTGAGTAATCATTACAGGTTTTAAGATCCGTTCTAATTCAATTTCCGCATTTGATCCATTTGAATAAAACATATTTCTGTGACCTGATATAATTAAATCTATATTTTCCACTTCTGTTGCTATTTCTATATCTTTTTCAGGCGTAGAATGCCCTAAAGCTATAATTATTTCAACTCCTTCTGTTTTCAGCTTAGTCGCTTCTTCTTTTAGTGCTATTACTTCATCAATATATTCAATATAGCCAGTACTATCAAGAATGTCTGAATCTAACTTTAGATATCCAACGATACCTACTTTTACACCATTAATATCTTTTACGATCGACTTTTGTATCTTTTGTTTAGTTTCCATAGAATTTACAATAACATTACAAGCCAGGACCGGAGAATTTAAGTTTTCCAAAAATGGAGAAAGGTTAGTTGATCCTTTATCAAGTTCATTGTTTCCAAGCGACTGAAACATAATAAAAACTTATGTATATAGAACCATTTAATATCTTTTATCGAAACATATAAGAAATTTGACAATAAACATAGAGATACGATATCAAATAACCGAGATAACGTACTGGAAAAAAATATAAAAAATGTTTTTCAACGCCTACTTCACCAGACAACTTGTTTAAAAATCAATAAATGCGATAATGAGGCGAGACCAATTATGTTTTGCATTCGACCTTATTGAGTTGTATTATAAAATATTATCTCTATGTATTGTCTATTTCTTATTTAGCAATATATAAATTTATATTAGGACATACATATAGGTTTGCAATATTAAATGTTCATGCTGTAAATTAGTATGGTATTGTTAATGTAAGTAATTAGGACACAATTGATTATATTGTTATTAATTCAATGTTATAATGAAATAATTCTGTTTGTAAATTAATATTAGGAAGGAATTTACTACAAAGCAGGAATTAGGATGTATATAAATTTATTACCCACACATAAAAGCGGCATATCTGTTAGATATTAATAAAGCGTTTGTTGAATTTTATAACTGAATTTAACGAAACTTACGTTGCCAGTGTCTCTTCGGCGGTGTCCCAAACTTACTTGCTCATCTAAGCATTATTTGTTAAAGCAAGACATCAAAGTACAAACAGTGTACGTATATATCAAAGACATTAGACGCTCTATACCAACACTTCAAAACACACAAACAAAGACGGGCTCAAACACGGATAGCGAACCAAATAAAGGGTCTACTATAGAAACATACTTGATTCGACGTATATAGAAGCAGTGTCATTGCATATTATATACTAGGACATGACGCAACAAGTATTGATTTTCAGCAATACATAAAGCCCTATGTACAGAGCCTGTAATATTAAATATAGCTGCAATGTCCACGATAGAAAATTTCGCTATGAACACCCACACTACTTGATTGACTTATTTCAGCTTTGTGTGCCGGCTTTATTAATTCAGAAATTATTTCTGCTTTATGCGGAGCTCGCAGAAATATTTTGTATTGTTTTTATCATTTTATATTTGATAGTGAACAAAGTCATGGAAAAATCTTTTAACTATGAAGTAGGATTTTATCATTCTTTATTAAAGGTTAAAGCTTATTTCTCATAGTGATGTTTTTTATATTAAATCATAAAAAAATCAAGTTTGAGATGGCTAATAATGAAGGATTCATTTTATTGGTGAATGCTAACTCGTAGAAGTTAAGCAAAACAAATACACAGCCTTGTCCACACGCTACATCTTAGCGCCAGTACGTAATGATATACAGACATTGAATGTGCCAACATACATACATATTGAAAACAATATTGACACAGAATATAGGCTTCCCATACTTACAACAGCATCTGGTTGTAGAGCGTTTAAGAATTCCGCAGCAACCTTCCATTTGTAGATTGTGAACCAGGCCGTGCCTGTGTAAGTATCACCAGCATTTAGATACAAAACGGGTGGACCTTCGCCGGATTCTGCTTTTCTTCGAGCCTCTTTCACTCTGCAATAAACAAGCTAAATGTATAATACTCATTCCATGAAAACTAGCTACACGTACCCTCGATTACGGGAAAAACGTATATAAAATTTTGATAAACAAAAATTAATTAAATATGTTTAATCATGCGTCACAAGAGAAATAACGAAGAGAAATTATTTTCCCGTTCATTTACGTAACGTTTCCATGAAACAAAATTTAAACAGTTTATATGTTGTATATACCTATAATAGGTACACAAAAATTGTTAAATGAAGCAGCAATAATTGCATGTGGAAACAATGTGTTTTTTTACAATTATTTGGTTTGACTACCATTATTCCGTATTGTCAACGTTGTTACTGTTTTCAAAACAATTTCATTGTATCTTAAAAATTTTAAGATGTGTTCGAAATAAAGAGACTTATTCTTTTGTCAGCTTATCCGACTCTCTAGTGTTGCTGTAAAATGTCATCTGAACAAAGAAAATAAATCACAACTTAAAATGGTTCTATATGTCATGTGTAATATATATTTTCACAAAGCAATTGTTTATTATGAAGTTATTTAATTCATTGTTTTTTACATAATAATCTCGATCTTTAATTACATTATGGAATATAATTATGCTAAAGTTAATCATAGTTGAAACCGTTCAAATATCTCGTTTAGAAGGTACAATGTTTTTCAAAGTAAGTCGTACTTACACAGTCGCTACTCTCGGGAAACCTCCGTAACATTTTCCAGCTTCTCTATCAAGTGTGGTGCAGGCTCCGCTAAGCTGGGAGGTCTGTTCAAATCGTGCATGCATATCATTGTTGTGTAAAATTAACAGCTCGAAATTTTTTCCATCATTTGCAGGAGGTTTCACAATACTGCTAAAGCTCAATGTAACAGTGGCCAGTACCGTCGTCAGATGAAATAAAATCTGAAAATTGCAACAATACTGTGTAATCATAGCTATGAAGTCGACCTACATTAAAATCCATTATAATTATAATCTCTCAAATATCTTTATGATTAATAAACAATGGAATTATATAAGGTATATTGTAATTATAGGTCATTAAATTAAAGAATATATTAATTGCCTTCTCCAATTCATTTAACGCTTAACCGTTAAGTCGATAGTCTTATAATTATTCAAAGCCATATGAAATGGAATGCATTATGAATTAAGATTTAAATAGTAATCTTAGTTATAAATAGTATATACAAAGAATAAGTGTATATGTATATTACAAGTAATCTGGAAAGTCGACTTCTACTAACTTTAATTTAAGCTCAAACAATTCTAAGTACTCCTGATCATAATTTTAAATCACCTTGTATATTTATAAGCAGTATGCTTAAAACAAGTTTATATCATCACACTGTGTACGAATAGTATTAACGTTGGTTATTGATTGAGAAACGGGAAACACGTCGTATGTATGGTGTTTGAAACTTGTGTTAAGCATACCGATCTTTCAATTAAAATTATGATTGACATCTTGTTGCGCCTCAGGCATAAATAATTTAAAGTATGGAAAATACATTAGCAGTACATAAAAATTGAAAATTGTATTAAATTATAAAATGTTGTTATTTTATTGATGTGTTAAAGTATTCTATTTGTTGAAAAGTACTTAAGAAGATTCCTAGTAACTATATTTTACATATATGGTATGGTCGTAGTCTATTTAAGTGTAGAAAGGTCAAATTTAAGGGGAAGCTATTCGAAGTTGTAAAATACAAAAGAAAAGGGTAGAGTAAAGGTACGAGTTAGGTATATAAAGAAATACAATCTCGTGAAGTACGGTTAGGTGTGTCATTTTGTCTTATTTAATGTACATGAAATGGTTGTTTCATTAAAAATCATAAAAACATTAACCAAAAACAAACAGTGCACCCGAACGAACTGAGAATTCCTTTTACCTGTACCTTTCTTCCAAGAACTTCATCCGCTGCATTTAAAACAAGTAAAAAACCCCAATAAATATATCTTAGTTCAAAGTCACTTGATATAGGGAATAAGGATATGCACCAGTGCTCTTAAACGGTTAAGGGCGAGATTGAAATTGAATTTCCTTTAGAGATCTGCCGTGTCGAGAGGGTTTAATGGACAGTTTAGAATGTTAATTTGTAAGAACCGAGATGAAGATATCTCTCAAGCAAGGATTTAATTTAAATGGAAATTTCGAAATAAAGTAAATAGTTCAGTATATATTTTATAATACAAATTTTTTATATTAAATACAATACAAATATTTTGAATATCTTATCAGCTCACTTTTTATATGATATTTAGAATTCATTAATTAAGCGAATGTTTTAAGATAAAGGAGAAAAATACATTAGCATTATTTTTGTTGACAAAGTATTTATTTTATGAGAAAACAGGAGTAAGATTAAGTGTTATACAATTATTTTAAAAACACCACGTTTTCATTCTACCTATCAAACATGGTTATACTAATTTTGTATATGGTTTTATGTTGATTGCAATATGAATTTTTAATATTGACGAATGATGTCTTAGAGAGATATTGAAAAGGAAAACCTGTCATATATATGTAGATATCTCAGAGATCTCAATCACGTTTCAAGCGATGGAACTTCCTTTCGCATTAATTAATATTTGTTACGTGACTTAGGGATGGCACAAGTAAGTTGTTAAAAACAATTAGGTAATAACTTTATACATATTATAATTCCACATCACAAGAAAATAAATTCTTATGTTATCTGTATATTAATTTTATAAATAATTTGCAATATCCCGAATCGGTAATATCTAGTACGTAATTTAACGTCTGCCTTTGTTGCCTTCTCGTATAAGCTGTATAATTTGACAAGTTTACGCAAATACGACATAACAGTTTCACTTTATCTTTTCATATGCAAATATTGTTCATCTAAATATAACAAGTATGATAGCTCGCTGATGTTCTCAAAGGAATATTGTTTTATACACACACAAATATGTTTATTAAAAAGCTAATATATAACTGAGATTATATGTTGAACTATTATGTTTATAATACATTTCTAGTTTATTTAGTGTTTATATTTAAGACGTGAATCAAAATGAGTAGTGTATTGAAATATTTCGTTTAAGAATTACGAGACGCTTGGAACACTTCGAATCGATCCAAATCGCCGGTAATTCAGCTGAGGCGAAGCAAGTTGTCTGAAGCAGGTCGAAGGATATCGTTACAGTCTCATCCTAAGAAATTTCGATTATATTCTCGAGTAATATTAATACTAATTAATCTTATATATTGTTATACTAAGTTCAGGGTTTGTATTAACATATTCGTCCTTTTTTGATCTATTAAATAAGTATCACATAATAAGTTTTGCATCTCAATAGACATTTTAATTTCAACAGTGATTTGGTCGTTTTATGATCGTTGGTTGTTAATTGTATTGTATGTAATCGTGTTTTGAATGAAGCTCGTGACGTTCATTTAATTATTTGTTCAAGGTTTCTTTGATGTCGATATAAATTAGGAGTTGCCTTCAACCTTTACGAGATTTTATCTCAATTAGTTTGATCTTGTGATTAAGAGGGACGTTTTATATAAATTGAACAAAACAATTTTCCATTTATAATTGTATTAGTTTATAATTTTTTTCTTTGATGTTTTTTATTTAAATTGATATTATACATATGCGTTTTATATATCATATGAATAACTCAAAGATAATTTCAATATTGTGTTAGCGGGAATATCTTCTATTTTTTATTTGAATTTATAAAATGAGCTATACAAAACATTTTTTTGTTTCGTTTGAATGGTGTTTGTCAATAAATATAAAATAATTCTTACCTGTAGTTAGAGTTACGATTCAAAGGGTAGTTTTAATTATAAGAAGTTTAATTTAATCAGAGTCATTTTCCTTAAGTTGTTTGTAAGTAAGAGAGGCGGCTTCCTATAACTTGGCTCTTAACAGGATTTCTAGAAAATATGGACGAAGTAGGTCACCCGGTGTTGGTTGAAATAGATCGATCTCAGATGGACTACAACACTAGAACATCTGGGTTATTGATATTGAAACGGTATATGTACTTACATTACCTTTTCTACTTAAAAAAGGAAAGTATATAATAATATAAATGATTTATTTTCTGCGTGACGTAATCGTAAATAAAATATAACTACAGATTCTTAAACCTATTACCTTGAATTGTAAAAAAGAATAGAAGCCCCACCGTGACGATCGTCTCTCGTAAAAAACTAAAAGCAATGTCACTGTGTTCTTGGTTATTCAGTTTTATGTAGAATGAATAAAAAAGATTTTTTAAAAATGTTATCAAGATATTGTGATGCTTTTTAAGAACATGTCTAATCAATATTCGAAACTTATGTACAGTGATATAATAAACAATATTTTGAATTTGAAATAAAAAAATCTGGATAATCGAGAAACATTTCCTTGTTCTAAAAAACAAGGAAATAATTCTGATGATAATTTAAAAATTTTACATAAAATTAATTTTAAATTTTACATATAAATACCTAACGATCTCGTCCTGTATAACTTATTTTTATTAGTAATATTATCATAAAGTGCCATTAAAGTATTTCTGTTTCATAACTAATTTAAGGTAAAAAAAGCTTTCCCGTGGGATCATAGCGAGTGGATCCGATGACGTGAAAATTAAGTTTGTACCCGAACGAGACTGGAAATATGTGGGCTCTTTTTATTTTTAAACTCTTCAGCGATAACTGAATCTTGGTATAACAAAAACATTCATACCTTAAATGGATAGGTATCATTTATGTACTGTTTTACAATAACTTTTATATTAAATATGATATAAATTAAATATAAAAAATGCTCTTGTAACACATTTAGTGAATTGAAAGTAAAGAAAATTATGTATTAAAAAAATATTTATCAATTTACAGTAGATCAAAAAATTATCAGTACTTTTGATATTTATTGGATCACTATCATAAAAACATGTGTTCCCAATTGTTATCAAGAGATTATAATTAAAATATTTTATATTTTACTATTACTTTCTATTTCCTTAATATAAAATCTTCTCAAATTTTGTCTCACGATGTTATTCAATTGTTCCATTCTAAAGTCTACTTACAAGTCTACTTACTTAAAAAAAGTAAAGTTGCTTATATTCTTTTCTTATATAACTTTCTTCTTCATCCTTAACGTATTAAGTAATTCAGCTAGACAAATATACTCGTATGTTTCGAAATAAGGAAAGGTTAAAAGATGCGCAAATGTATCTATAAATGCAGTGATTATCAGGCAAATTATCATTTGTTATCTACCATCATTTAAATAAATACTGTCATTTATATGTTGTTTAAGGTTAAAATCATTGTTCTGATAGACGGTGGAAATGTTTGAAATATCACTATCATGAAGTTAATTGTATCAAATATGCCAAACATACTTCAATGTTGTGATGCAACTCTGGAAATTTTAATGAACCCAGCCGAATAAGACAGTGAGAGAATAGTTGCAGTTTTTCTTATTATTTTGTTTGGCTGTGGCTACTTAAACATACATACACGACTTAGGTAGAAACTATATAGTTTAAAATTGTTGAAACATAAACTATATTCAAAATGACATGTAACCATGTGTTTATAGATCTATATAGTAGATAATATTTGGCAAAGTTGTGAAGATAAAATAATACAAGGCCCATTTTTCATACCCCTACCTCGGCAATAACATCTCTTTATACATAATATAAAAAGATACTTTAATGTTATTAGTGTTTTGTTTCAAAGAGTTCGATATTGTCTTTTCAATGTAATTTATGTAAAGTTTTTTCTTTTTTATTTCATGAACTACGAGTATAAATAAATGGTGTATGACTTGGACTTTTAAATCCGAAATATTAAAAGGTCTATTTTTGTTCCAGGA